GTGTACATGTCTGTGTGTGATGTGGTGTGTACATGGCTGTGTGTGATGTCGTGTGATGCAGCCTGTGTTACTGTAGCAGGACAGGGTCCGACGCCCACAGACTACAAACACTACGGTATTCGTCAATGGCCAAAATGTATTTGCTGAAATTATGAATGTGATTTCAAAGAAAACCACCCTGAAACAATCAGGTATACCATATAGCACATATAAAACAATATACACATATCATAAACACAGATATATACATACAATTCATATGCATACTAGTATGATGATATACAGTACATAGTATTGTTGTAAATGCACTGGGTAGAATATATAAATTTATGTACATGTTAATTAGAAAAGTATTTTGTCTTGATATATGATCAAATGCATACACTAGATGACGACATATAAACGACATGTAACCTACCAGGTGTGTGGGCCTGGCTTGATATCACACCTGGGGATGATACCGTGCTAAGTTTCTGCACAACAGTGCAAAACTCGTCTGCAGAGGAAATAACAATACATATATATACAGTACATGCAGACATGCCAATAAGAATGAATGAATACTTTCTACCATATATATATATACTCACACGCAAAAGAAACGCAAGTCGAGTATGCAGTATACATGTTATTTATTTTCAACAGTAAAGACAAGAAATACTAATAGGGCAAGATTGACAAAAATTTGACTGAAGACAGTTTAATGGATTAAAAGGCAGATGACATTATAGTTTTTTTTAAATGTTAAGGGCTTACACAGTTTCGGGTCAATACCAAAAATGTCAGTCAATACCTGGTGTGACCACCATTAGCATTGATCACTGCCACACATCTCCTGTACATTGAGTGGAACAGACGATTTGTGAAGGCCCTAGGGATCCTCCTGCACACATCCAGAGCAGCTGTGCGTAGTTCATCGGCAGTTGTAGGGACTGGGCGCACATTGTGCAGACGCCTTTGAAACTCATCCTGTCGTGTCCCCGACCTTGACCAACATTCAGAAAGCACATGGGTCCAAGTCTCGCATTAAGTCCAATCCCTGCCCATATCATGACGCTAGGTCCATCCCATGGATCCCTTTCCACAACGTTTCTGTCAGCGAAACAATCACCTTGACACCGCCAAATTCTGACTCCTCCGTCTGCATGAGAGACACAAAAGCGACTTTCATCAGAGAAGATAACACGCCTCCACTCACGATGACGCCAATTGTGATGACCCTGTGCCCACTGAAGTCGTGCTTGTCGATGTTGTGGTTGGAGAACAGGACAACGTGCTGGTTGGCGACATCTGAGGTTGTTGGAACGGAGACGTTGGATCACAGTGTCCCAGCTAATGTGTCGATTATGTGTTCCTATGGTCTGTCGAGCACTTTCACTTGCAGTTAGAAACGGATGTCGCTGGTGTTGACAGGTAATCTGGCGGTCTTGTCGAGGTGTGGTGACCCTAGGACGACCGCTCCGAGGAAGGTCATCTGTGGTCTGTGTAGCATTGTATCGATGCAGGAGATGGTAAATTGTGGTTATGTTAACGTTGAAATGACGGGCAACATCTTGGACAGACTTTCCAGCTTCCAAACGTCCGATAGCCTGGTTTCTCTGAATTTGAGTCAGGCGTGGCATTGTTGACCAAGGAGTGGTAGGTCCAAGAATCGGCCACAGTTTTATACCAACTACCGTTTGTGCATTTTCGATTTTGCGAGAAATGGGTGTATGATACCCACACATTCATTGAAATTGTGCATTTTGGCGATTCGTCTTTTATGTTGCGTTTTTACTCGGGGCTTCCAAAATGCAACCAAAAATATTGATAACACATGCTAAAACTCGTATCAATTTATGGTTCCGTGTTTGTTACTTTTTTGCTTAAAACCACTTGCGTTTCTTTTGCGTGTGAGTATACATGTAGCTGAACATGAAAGAGTAATACTCTTCATGCAATCATTCATTTATACTTACTTTCAATCATTTATTTACGCTTACTTTTAATCATTCATTTATGCTTACTTTCAATCATTCTTTCAAGCTTACCTACATTCAATCATCCCATGCATGCTTGCTTAGCCTTAACTCTTATGTCACAAATAAACTCTATCATTTCTAAAACTACTAATCTTGCTTTTTTAGTTTAATGCTTATACATGTTTTAATGAATGTAGGATACTTTTTTGGTTGTTAAACTCAATAATAATTACGAATCCACATTCCGTGTATTCTTGTCAAAACACACATATATCCAAATACAAACAATATCTACAATATTGCAAATACAATTTAATGAATAAAATCCTCAATTCAATAATAAAATACTAACCTTGGAATTTGATCTAAGGTTCCCCAAAACGATCCTTGTGAAAAACATGTGAATATATATTTTTATCCTTGGAGAGGTATATGTAGAGTGACCAGGGGGCACGGGTGGCCCAGTCGTCTAAGGCGCCGCGATTCGCTGTGCAGAGTTGCATCCCTTGGGCACGCCAGAAATCTATGATTGTGGGTTCGAATCCCGGTTCGCCCCGATTATGTTTCTAGGTTTGTCAGCACCATACCCGTGCCCGTGGGTTTCACCGAAGTGGTAAACGTCTGTGACCTGCATCACTTCAGGCTTTCCTGCCACATTAAGCTGACACGCCGTGATATAACTGGAATACTGTTAAAAGCGGCGTTAAACCCAACTCACTCACTCACTCACCTTAGGTGTCCAGCATACAGCATTACATCTAAGTTACTCTTTCCCTCTTTTCGTGTGATCTTTTAGTGTTAGTCGGAGGGCATAGCATCATTTTTTGCCTAAATTTTTAGGCTTGGACACGACGATATGCATGAGAAATCTTTGTCACAGGTCGTATTCTAGCACGATGTGACCATGAACTTCAATATTCTAAACATAGGTCATGATTTCCTGCTTAAAATGTTCAAAACAACACAATTTCACCAAAGACTTTCGTCTAAATCTGAAATATATCACGCACAAGGATGGTATCCTTTGCTGTATTTTGATTCCCAGTATTTTCTCATGTCACTGAGTTGAAATAGGTGATGTGAAATGGGGTTTAACATTTCGACCAAGATTATTGCACTTATATAGTGACGTGCATGTGTGTGTGCCTGCATGCGTGCGCGCTTGTACTAGTCGGGACTGATGCCGATTTTGAGTGCTAGGCCACTGAGATAACATGCCATAGTTTAACATGAATAACCTACTCAGATACAGTATTCTGACTCCGAGCCGACCAGTCCTTGTTTTAGCCCCTTAATGGCTAGCGCCAGACAGGGTAACAACAAGTACCATATTTTAACGTCTTTTTGGTATGACGCGCCGGGAATTGAATCCCGGACCTTCCGCTCTCCGGGCGGACACTTGGGCCACAGAGGCGGCCTTTGAGCGGAAAAAATACTATTATCGGGAATTACAGTCCGTTTGACTCCAAATGAGAATGATGAATTGAAAATAACTTGAAATCCAGAAAAGTGTATGAAACATCAATACGGTACTTGACCATAAATACCCTGTACCCAACAAAATCTGAATTTTGTTTATTTTAAGACCCATGACGGATGAAGTTCTTTAAGAAACTATCATGTAATTTTGTATAGAAATGTGTACATGACACTTGGGGGGGACAAACCGTGGAAGGCACAGCGCAAGCACGCATGCACTGCACGTTCTGTGGTAGGGGAAATGACAGAGCGTTAGAAGGGCCGTCTCATGATAATTTCAGTCGCAATCTGACTGCTGGCTGTGTGTGACGCATTTACCCATGTCTCATCTAAGAAGACGGGCTCATATCCTTCTTCACGTTTCTGCTTGATGGTACGAAGGTAATGATTTCGGAGACGAAAAATGTCAGACCGTTCACACAACACAGCCCTATTTTCCTCCAGTTATCTTTTTGTATTTGTAACCAAATGTATGCAACAGCTGCCATAGTTTGTACTTTGTAACACGTAAATCATGGTCAGTTTCAAGGTGTTTCTTCAAAATTCTTAGGGACAGGTACTTATTTTCTGAGTGCAGTTTAACAATTGCACGTCTGACTTGATCCCTCTGAAAACGGTCTAATTTATCAACCTTGCGTGGTTTTGACATGTTCCCTACCTCCTTGGCCTGACTATTTGTATCTCGTCGACTAACAACATTTTTAAGTTTCTGAGGGGACATACCAAGAGCTTTTGAAGCTTGTTTCAAGAATTTATTAATTGCATAAAAAGGCTTTGCTCTTTCTGCTTCACTTCTAAAGAAATCATACACATTCAACATCAAGTGCTTAACATCTGCTGAGTAGCGCATCTTGTCATTGAATGAACACGGTCACTGTGTAGCACGTGCAGACCGTGCTTGCGCTGTTCCTTCCACGGTTTGTCCCCCTACGTGTCATGTACACATTTCTATACAAAATTACATGATAGTTTCTTAAAGAACTTCATCCGTCATGGCTCTTAAATTAAACAAAATTCAGATTTTGTTGGGTACAGGGTATTCATGGTCAAGTACCGTATTAATGTTTCATACCTTTTTCTGGATTTCGAGTTATTTTGCAATTCATCGTTCTCATTTGGAGTCAAACGGACCGTATGTGATGATAGATTGTACTTAGAATTCTGTTATTATCATTTTCTGATTACTTTAAATAAAAAAACAAATGTTGGTGTTTAGCTCGATTATGAAATCCTAAAATTGCCAAAAATCTCCACAAGAATGTCTCTCTGCTTCAGCTAAAATGTTTGGGCCTACAGTTTTTCCCCTGTGCCTACAGTTTTCCCCCTGTGCCTACAGTTTTTCCATTGGGCCTACAGTTTTTCCCCTGTGCCTACAGTTTTTCCCCTGGGACTACAGTTTTCCCCCCGTGCCTACAGTTTTTTCACTGGGCCTACAGTTTTTCCACTGGGCCTACAGTTTTTCCACTGGGCCTACAGTTTTTGAAATGTGTGGGCCCTTCAGGCTCTCAGTTTACTCTGCTGAGTTTCAGACACTGCAGGTATGTCTGTCTTCTGTTTCAGAGACATTATTAAAGACAATGGGAATGCAATAGATGCTGCGATAGCGACGTTGCTGTGCATGTCTGTGGCTGACCCACAGAGCATGGGCATTGGAGGTGGTTTCTTCATGACTGTGTACAACAGGTAATTATGTCCCCTGACTGTACAACAGGTAATTATGTCCCCTGACTGTACAACAGGTAATTATCTCTCCTGACTGTACAACAGGTAATTATGTCCCCTGACTGTGTACAACAGGTAATTATCTCTCCTGACTGTGTACAACGGGTAATTATCTCCCCTGACTGTGTACAACAGGTAATTATCTCCCCGACTGTACAACAGGTAATTATTTCCCCTGACTGTATACAACAGGTAATTATCTCCCCTGACTGTGTACAACAGGTAATTATCTCCCCTGACTGTGTACAACTGGTAATTATCTCCCCTGACTTTGAACAACAGGTAATTATCTCCCCTGACTGTACAACAGGTAATTATTTCCCCTGACTGTGTACAATATGTAATTATTTCCCCTGACTGTGTACAACAGGTAATTATGTCCCCTGACTGTACAACAGGTAATTATGTCCCCTGACTGTGTACAACAGGTAATTATGTCCCCTGTTTGTACAACAGGTAATTACCTCCCCTGACTGTGTAAAACAGGTAATTATCTCCCCTGACTGTGTACAATATGTAATTATCTCCCCTGACTGTGTATAACAGGTAATTATCTCCCCTGACTGTACAACAGGTAATTATGTCCCCTGACTGTACAACAGGTAATTACCTCCCATGACTGTACAACATGTAATTATCTCCCCTGACTGTGTACAACAGGTAATTATGTTGCCTGACTGTGTACAACAGGTAACTATCTCCCCTGACTGTACAACCGGTAATTATCTCCCCGACTGTACAACAGGTAATTATTTCCCCTGACTGTATACAACAGGTAATTATCTCCCCTGACTGTGTACAACAGGTAATTATCTCCCCTGACTGTGTACAACTGGTAATTATCTCCCCTGACTTTGAACAACAGGTAATTATCTCCCCTGACTGTACAACAGGTAATTATTTCCCCTGACTGTGTACAATATGTAATTATTTCCCCTGACTGTGTACAACAGGTAATTATGTCCCCTGACTGTACAACAGGTAATTATGTCCGCTGACTGTGTACAACAGGTAATTATGTCCCCTGTTTGTACAACAGGTAATTACCTCCCCTGACTGTGTAAAACAGGTAATTATCTCCCCTGACTGTGTACAATATGTAATTATCTCCCCTGACTGTGTATAACAGGTAATTATCTCCCCTGACTGTACAACAGGTAATTATGTCCCCTGACTGTACAACAGGTAATTACCTCCCATGACTGTACAACATGTAATTATCTCCCCTGACTGTGTACAACAGGTAATTATGTTGCCTGACTGTGTACAACAGGTAACTATCTCCCCTGACTGTACAACCGGTAATTATCTCCCCTGACTGTGTACAACAGGTAATTATCTCCCCTGACTGTGTACAACATGTAATTATCTTCCCTGACTGTAAAGAACAGGTAATTATCTCGCCTGACTGTGTTCAACAGATAATTATCTCCCCTGACTGTACAACAGGTAATTATCTCTCCTGACTGTGTACAACATGTAATATCTCTCCTGACTGTGTACAACAGGTAATTACCTCCCCTGACTGTGTACAACAGGTAATTACCTCCCCTGACTGTGTACAACATGATATATCTCTCCTGACTGTGTACAACATGTAATATCTCCCCTGACTGTGTACAACATGTAATATCTCTCCTGACTGTGTACAACAGGTAATATCTCTCCTGACTGTGTACAACATGTAATTTATCATCCAAAACTGGCTCCCACAGGAGATATCGCTTGGATGAGATCAAGCGATATCTACACTGTAGATATCGCTGCAATGAAATTACATCACAATGCTTTGCAGACCATTGTGACATCACTGGTTACCATGACGTCACAATCAAATGACATCACTAATGGCTCTGCTACTGAAGCTGTTTGCAGTACTTTTTACACTGAAGACACTGCTAATTACTGTCTACAAATTGAAAAAGTTGAAAGAATGATGTTGGATGATAAATAAAATCTCACCCTCGTGTCTTTTGATATCAAATATATCAACACTCGTTGATAAAAGTGGCAAAAATCCTCGGCAAGCCTCGGATTTTTCCACTTTTATCAACTCGTGTTGATATATTTGATATCAAAAGACACTCGGGTGAGATTCTCTATATCTCCCCTGACTGTATACAACAGGTAATTATCTTCCCTGACTGTACAACAGGTAATTATCTCCCCTGACTATATACAACAGGTAATTATCTCTCCTGACTGTACACATCAGGTACTTATCTCCCCTGACTGTATACAACAGGTAAGTGTTAGTTATCTCCCCTTACAGCAGTAGTGTTAGTTATCTCCCCTTACAACCGTAGTGCTGGTTGTCTCGCCTGATGGTTGTGTTATCTCCCTTGACAATAGCAGTAGTGTCATTATGTAGCCTACAATATAACCATCACTATTGTCGCCATGAATCAAAATGGCACAGACCAATCTGAATGTGCGGCAGGGTTGGGGATTAGGAGTGATTTGTGGCAAGATCCAGAGTTTGATGTTATTATACCCCAGTTTACGAAGTAAACTGGGGGTATATAGCGTTCCGTCCTTCCGTCCGACCTTTTGTACGGCCCATATCTTTTTAACCATGCACCCTAGCTTCACCAAACGTGCTACACCCATTTACCACAATGAGTACTTGTGCCTTTTGCTAGTTTGAAGAATCTGAATTTTTTTATTTTTGCCGTTTCCATGGAATCATGGTGAAGCATAAATTTGGGGTCGAGTTTTTGTACGATCCATGTTTACAATATTATGTATCCTAGCCTCAGAAAACTTGCTACATTAACCACTTTGATTGTTTTTTATCTTTTATAAGATTCTGAAAGTTTTTCTTTTGCTGTTTAAATGGAAACATAATGGAATTTGGAAATTTGGATGACTGGTTTTGTATAGCTCATGGGGTTACAAAGGAAAGGGCAGTTCCTCTGACTTAAAGCAACAGGTATATTTCATTAATTAACAAAGTATTTACTATTTGTTGTTGACCAGCGGGGATAACGGGTGTGTGTGAGCTTTGCTCACTTCATTCTTGTTTAGATTACCGACATGTTTTAGTATGACATGGTAAAAAAATTCAAACAAATTCAAAATTGATAGAAAACAGCTGCTGATGTTAGCTTGCACTATGTAACGAGACTTTCACTGACTCCAAAAAAGGGTGCGGCTTTTGGCTTTGAAGCGGGGTATAAGGGATTTATTCTGCCTCTCAAAAATCCATGTGCAGCCTGACTTACTCGTGGTGGGGTTAAAGAGATTTATTTCCCTGCTGAGAAATTTATTCCCCTCCAAGGAGGGATGCACAGTATTTTATCAAGACCACGGACCAACAGCTGCAACATTGACCAAACACTCTTGGCTTCTTGTAGCCTGTATGTGTGATCCTTACCTTGTCAGCTTGCTGACGGGGTTAACCTCTTTGGTCATGTGGACAAGGCGTCAAACCTCGGATCAGAAGGTCCGTGTTCGAATCCCAATACCGGACTCGGAAATTTTATGGCCACTACATTGGCGCCCAACGTGGGGCTGAGCAGGTTCATATTAAATTTGAGGAAAATAAACCTCAGTACCCTACTATGCAGCCCGGGCCGTGCCTTCTGTTGACGGGGGAGTATGTAGCAGGGCGTGGAGTCAACCCACAGATGACATCCTTACCCTGTCAGCTTGCTGACGGGGTTAACCTCTTTGGTCATATGGACAAGGCGTCCGACCTCGGATCAGAAGGTCCTTGGTTCGAATCCCATCACGGGACTCGGAAATTATATGGCCGCTACATGTGTTTCAGATCCACGCAGACATCGACCATCATCGATGCCAGGGAGACAGCCCCGGCAGCAGCCACTCAGGACATGTTTGTGAAGAAAGCCAGTCTGTCAGAGAAAGGTACCTGTTGCTATTGTTATCATAAACATATCACACAAGGGATTCATCTGTGACCGTGGTATACATTGTTTACAACTGTTTTCTGTTGACACCAGGTGGTCTGTCCGTGGGTATCCCAGGGGAGATGTACAGGATAAAACGATTCTCTGAGTTTTGAAAATGGAAATGGAAATCCACGAGGATGTTTACAACTGTTTTCTGTTGCCACCAGGTGGTCTGTCCGTGGGGATCCCAGGGGAAATCAGCGGGTACTGTGTGGCCCACATTGTTTACAACTGTTTTCTGTTGCCACCAGGGGGTCTGTCTGTGGGGATCCCAGGGGAGATCAGCGGGTACTGTGTGGCCCACATTGTTTACAACTGTTTTCTGTTGCCACCAGGGGGTCTGTCTGTGGGGATCCCAGGGGAAATCAGCGGGTACTGTGTGGCCCACATTGTTTACAACTGTTTTCTGTTGCCACCAGGTGGTCTGTCCGTGGGGATATCAGGGGAGATCAGCGGGTACTGTGTGGCCCACATTGTTTACAACTGTTTTCTGTTGCCACCAGGTGGTCTGTCCGTGGGGATCCCAGGGGAGATCAGCGGGTACTGGCTGGCCCACCAGGAGTTTGGTAGCCTTCCGTGGGAGACGCTGTTCCAGCCAGTCATTAAGATGACCAGAGATGGGTTCCCCGTCCCAACCTCACTGGCCAAAGCACTGCAAGATGACAGGAATAGCATTCTGAAGAACAAAAATCTCCGGTGAGTGCATGTCGAGCCTTGTTAAGAACACCAGGTATTGTACATATGTGTTTATTTCCCTCCCCTAAAATTTTCTCAAAAGCTCACATGTTCTTATTTTTATGTTTCATTTTTGCACCAGATGCAAAAACTTCATTCCTGAAGTGCCATTTGTGTCCTGTTAGATTTTTGTGGGCACATCCATGTTGTGTCAGATTGACAGGGCACATCCATGTTGTGTCAGGTTGACAGGGCACATCCATGTTGTGTCAGATTGACAGGGCACATCCATGTTGTGTCAGATTGACAGGGCACATCCATGTTGTGTCAGATTGACAGGGCACATCCATGTTGTGTCAGATTGACAGGGCACATCCATGTTGTGTCAGATTGACAGGGCACATCCATGTTGTGTCAGATAGACAGGGCACATCCATGTTGTGTCAGATAGACAGGGCACATCCATGTTGTGTCAGGTTGACAGGGCACATCCATGTTGTGTCAGATTGACAGGGCACATCCATGTTGTGTCAGATTGACAGGGCACATCCATGTTGTGTCAGATAGTCCCCACGACCCAGACGATCATCACTGCCGATGGGACTATAAATCTTAACTCTCTCTCAACTCCCACAGGGGCAGTTGGGTAGCCAAGTGGTTAAAGAGTTCGCTCGTCACACCGAAGACCCGGGTTCGATTCCCAACATGGTTACAATGTGTGAAGCCCATTTCTGGTGTCCCCTGCTGTGATGTTGCTGGAATATTGCTAAAAGCGGCGTAAAACCATACTCACTCACCCTCTCGCCTTCCCCAGATAGTGTATACATTGTGACTTGTGTGTGTCAGAGATGTGTATGTCAACCCGGAGACAGGGGAGCTGTACACGGAGGGCGAGATACTAAAGGACCCAAAGATGTTAAAGACATTCCAGTCCATTGCTGTAGGGAAGGACACGACCTTCTACAATGGCAGTCTAGCTGACGACATCCTCGCAGATCTCAAGGAGGCAGGTACTGTAGGCCATTAGACTTGCCCACACAGTCATGTGTAGTCTACTGTAGGCAGTTAGACTTGCCCACACAGTCTTGTGTAGACTACTGTAGGCAGTTAGAGCTGCCCACACAGCCATGTTTTATCTACTGTAGGCAGTTAGAGCTGCCCACACAGTCCTGTGTAGTCTACTGTAGGCAATTAGATCTGCCCACACAGCCATGTTTTATCTACTGTAGACAGTTAGAGCTGCTCCCACAGCCATGTTTTATCTACTGTAGGCAGTTAGAGCTGCCCACACAGCCATGTTTTATCTACTGTAGGCAGTTAGATCTGCCCACACAGCTATTTGTAGTCTATTGGGGCAGTTAGATCTGCCCACACAGTCATATGTAGTCTACTGCAGGCAGTTAGGTCTGCCAACACAGCCATGTGTTGTCTACTGCAGGAAGTTAGATCTGCCCACGCAGCCATGCGTAGTCTACTGTAGGCAGTTAGATCTGCCCACACAGCTGTTTGTAGTCTACTGCGGGCAGTTAGGTCTGCCCACACAGTCATATGTAGTCTACTGCAGGCAGTTAGGTCTGCCAACACAGCCATGTGTTGTCTACTGCAGGAAGTTAGATCTGCCCATGCAGCCATGTGTAGTCTACTGTAGGCAGTTAGATCTGCCCATGCAGCCATGTGTAGTCTACTGTAGGCAGTTAAATCTGCCCACACAGCCATGTGTAGTCTACTGTAGGCAGTTAGATCTGCCCACACAGCCATGTGTAGTCTACTGTAGGCAGTTAAATCTGCCCACACAGCTGTTTGTAGTCTACTGCGGGCAGTTAGGTCTGCCCACACAGTCATATGTAGTCTACTGCAGGCAGTTAGGTCTGCCAACACAGCCATGTGTTGTCTACTGTAGGCAGTTAGATCTGCCCACACAGTCATATGTAGTCTACTGCAGGCAGTTAGGTCTGCCCACACAGTCATATGTAGTCTACTGCAGGCAGTTAGGTCTGCCCACACAGCCATGTGTTGTCTACTGTAGGCAGTTAGATCTGCCCACACAGCTGTTTGTAGTCTACTGTAGGCAGTTAGGTCTGCCCACACAGTCATATGTAGTCTACTGCAGGAAGTTAGATCTGCCCACGCAGCTGTTTGTAGTCTACTGTAGGCAGTTAAATCTGCCCACACAGCCATGTGTAGTCTACTGTAGGCAGTTAAATCTGCCCACAAAGCCATGTGTAGTCTCTTGTAGGCTGTTAGACTCGCCCACACAGCCATGTGTAGTCTACTGTAGGCCGTTAGAGTTGCCCTCACAACCATGTGTTGTCTAGTGTATTTTACATTTTACTGCAGGCTCCATCATCACAAAGGATGACCTGGCAGGGTACACTGCCCTTAAGAAGCTCCCCCTGGTGGCCAAACTGAGTGATGGGAACACGCTGTACTCCCCGCCACCTCCCGCCAGCGGTGCCGTCCTCACCTTCATCATGAACATCCTTGACGGTGAGCATCAATTGGACAGTTTTTGTATCTGTAGAAACACAAGGGGGGTCAATGTAGCGGTTGGTTGTTGTTTAACGCCACCCTCAGCAATATTCCAGCTTTATGAGTGAGTGATTGAGTATGGTTTTATGCTGCTTTTAGCAATATTCCAGCAATATCATGGTGGGGCACACCAGAAATGAGCTTCACACATTGTACCCATGTCAGGAATCGAACCCGGTTCTTCAGCATGACAAGCAAACGCTTTAACCACTAGGCTACCCGACTGCCCCTCCAGCTATATGATGGGAGCCTGAGCCTGAGCCTGAGCCTGAGCATCGATCCTCCAATTGGAATACGACCAAGTCTGCGAGTTGATCCTGTTAGTCGCATCTTACGACGAGCAAAGTCGCCTTTCGGACAAGCATGTATTCCTAAAAACCTATTCCACCGGGTCAGTCGAGGTAGAAATGTCCACTGTAACATGTTCCTGTGTTGTGTGGGGAGTCCAGGGCAGAAGTGTCCACTGTAACATGTTCCTGTGTTATGTGGGGAGTCCGGGGTAGAAGTGTCCACTGTAACATGTTCCTGTGTTGTGTGGGGAGTCCGGGGTAGAAGTGTCCACTGTAACATGTTCCTGTGTTGTGTGGGGAGTCCGGGGTAGAAGTGTCCACAGTAACATGTTCCTGTGTTGTGTGGGGAGTCCGGGGTAGAAGTGTCCACTGTAACATGTTCCAGTCCCGGGGTAGAAGTGTCCACTGTAACATGTTCCAGTCCCGGGGTAGAAGTGTCCACTGTAACATGTTCCTATGTTGTGTGGGGAGTCCGGGGTAGAAGTGTCCACTGTAACATGTTCCTGTGTTGTGTAGAGAGTCCGGGGTAGAAGTGTCCACTGTAACATGTTCCTGTGTTGTGTGGGGAGTCCAGGGCAGAAGTGTCCACTGTAACATGTTCCTGTGTTGTGTGGGGAGTCGGGGGTAGAAGTGTCCACTGTAACATGTTCCTGTGGGGAGTCCGGGGGAGAAGTGTCCACTGTAACATGTTCCAGTCCCGGGGTAGAAGTGTCCACTGTAACATGTTCCTGTGTTGTGTGGGGAGTCGGGGGTAGAAGTGTCCACTGTAACATGTTCCTGTGGGGAGTCCGGGGGAGAAGTGTCCACTGTAACATGTTCCAGTCCCGGGGTAGAAGTGTCCACTGTAACATGTTCCTGTGTTGTTTGGGGAGTCCGGGGTAGAAGTGTCCACTGTAACATGTTCCTGTGTTGTGTGGGGAGTCCGGGGTAGAAGTGTCCACTGTAACATGTTCCTGTGTTGTGTGGGGAGTCCGGGGTAGAAGTGTCCACTGCAACATGTTCCTGTGTTGTGTTGGGAGTCTGGGGTAGAAGTGTCCACTGTAACATGTTCCTGTGGAGAGTCCGGGGTAGAAGTGTCCACTGTAACATGTTCCTTTGTTGTGTGGGGAGTCTGGGGTAGAAGTGTCCATTGTAACATGTTCCTGTGTTGTTTGGGGAGTCCGGGGTAGAAGTGTCCACTGTAACATGTTCCTGTGTTGTGTGGAGAGTCCGGGGTAGAAGTGTCCACTGTAACATGTTCCTGTGTTGTGTGGGGAGTCCGGCGTAGAAGTGTCCACTGTAACATGTTCCTGTGTTGTGTGGGGAGTCTGGGGTAGAAGTGTCCACTGTAAGATGTTCCTGTCCCTGGGTAGAAGTGTCCACTGTAACATGTTCCTGTGTTGTGTGGGGAGTCCGGGGTAGAAGTGAAATGTTTACCTCTGCTGCAGGCTACAAATTCAGCCCTGGGAGTATCAGCAAGCTCAGTGACTCCGTGCTGACCCATCACAGGATTGTAGAAGCATTCAAGTTTGCCTATGCAAAACGAACAGATCTTGGGGATGAAGACTTTCTCAACGTCTCTAGCGTAAGTCTGTGGTTAGAGAGAAGGTTTGTTGAGATGCAGCACAAATGTGTGACGGGTGAAATATGTGATAAGTGTGAGAGTTTGTTGATAGAGATCGTAAGTCTGTGATAAGTGTGAGCATTTGTGGAGAGAGATCTTAAGTCTGTGATAAGTGTGAGCATTTGTGGAGAGAGATCTTAAGTCTGTGATAAATGTGAGAGTTTGTTGATGAGATCCAAAGTCTGGGATAAATGCAAGTCTTTGTTAATAAGAGATCGTAAGTCTGTGATAAGTGTGAGAGTTTGTTCATGAGATCGTAAGTCTGATAAATGTAAGAGTTTGTTCATAGAGATTGTAAGTCTGTGATAAGTGTGAGCGTTTGTTGATAAGAGATCGTAAGTCTGATAAATGTAAGAGTTTGTTCATAGAGATCGTAAGTCTGTGATAAGTGTGAGCGTTTGTTGATAAGAGATCGTAAGTCTGATAAATGTAAGAGTTTGTTCATAGAGATCGTAAGTCTGTGATAAGTGTGAGAGTTTGTTGATAGAGATCGTAAGTCTGTGATAAATGTGAGAGTTTGTTGATAGAGATCGTAAGTCTGTGATAAATGTGAGATGTTGTTGATAGAGATCGAAAGTCTGTGATAAGTGTGAGAGTTTGTTCATGAGATCGTAAGTCTGATAAGTGTAAGAGTTTGTTCATAGAGATTGTAGGTCTGTGATAAGTGTGAGAGTTTGTTGATAGAGATCGTAAGTCTGGGATAAATGCAAGTCTTTGTTAATAAGAGATCGTAAGTCTGTGATAAGAGTGGGCGTTTGTTGATAAGAGATCGTAAGTCTGATAAATGTAAGAGTTTGTTCATAGAAATCATAAGTCTGTGATAAGTGTGAGCGTTTGTTGATAAGAGATGGTAATTCTGATAAGTGTGAGAGTTTGTTGATAGAGATTGTAAGTCTGGGATAAATGCAAGTCTTTGTTAATAAGAGATCGTAAGTCTGTGATAAGTGTGAGTGTTTGTTTGATAAGAGATCGTAAGTCTGATAAATGTAAGAGTTTGTTCATAGAAATCATAAGTCTGTGATAAGTGTGAGCGTTTGTTGATAAGAGATGGTAATTCTGATAAATGTAAGAGTTTGTTTATAGAAATCGTAAGTCTGTGATAAGTGTGAGCGTTTGTTGATAAGAGATTGTAAGTCTGTGATAAGTGTGAGAGTTTGTTCATAGAGATCGTAAGTCTGTGATAAGTGTGAGCGTTTGTTGATGAGATTGTAAGTCTGTGATAAGTGTAAAAGTTTGTTGATAGAGATCAAAAGTCTGTGATAAGTGTGAGCGTTTGTTGATAAGAGATCGTAACTCTGTGATAAGTGTGAGAGTTTGTTGATAAGAGATCGTAAGTCTGTGATAAGTGTAAAAGTTTGTTGATAGAGATCAAAAGTCTGTGATAAGTGTGAGCGTTTGTTGATAAGAGATCGTAAGTCTGTGATAAGTGTAAAAGTTTGTTGATAGAGATCAAAAGTCTGTGATAAGTGTAAAAGTTTGTTGATAAGAGATGGTAATTCTGATAAATGTAAGAGTTTGTTGATAGAAATCTTAAGTCTGTGATAAGTGTAAGAGTTTGTTGATAAGAGATCGTAAGTCTGTGATAAGTGTAAAAGTTTGTTGATGAGATCGTAAGTCTGTGATAATTGTGAGAGTTTGTTGATAAGAGATCGTAAGTCTGTGATAAATGTGAGAGTTTGTTGATAAGAGATCGTAAGTCTGTGATAAATGTGAGAGTTTGTTGATGCAATTGTAAGTCTGTGATTGATGTAACTCTTGCTGCAGCTGGTGGCTAACCTGACGTCCCGAGACTACGCTGACGGAATCCGATCTCTGATCTGGGACAACCAAACCCATGACTTGATGTACTATGGCCCCACGTTCTACGACCAGCTGAAGACCAGCACGTCCCACCTCTCCATCGTAGACAACGAGGGCAATGCTGTTGCTGTGACAACCACTGTTAATCTCAGGTACACAACCGATGTATACACATAGTATTTAGTTAAGCAACACCCGTATATTCTCAGATTGGGCAACTTTAATGAACTAGTGCATAAAATGTGTAAAAGATTTTCATACCATATAATTAATTTAGTGAAAAGGAAGAGTTGAGGAGGAACATAGCCAAGATAACCATGAAATAATGTTTGTTTTTTAGATGTTACATATTTGGAAAATAACTTAATTTCATCCGAAAAAATTACGAATGTCACTTTTGTTGCACAGACTAAACCGTCAGTACCATGCACACTTCTGGTTCACAGAATTGAATAACAATGTCCTGCAAGTCCAAATATTGACATTCCATCCGTATCTTGTTTAAACTCCCTGAACCCGATAAGGGTGAAATGATACACCGATATTCCGATGCATCGCGATACTTGACCCACGATACGATATACGATAAACGTGGGCCCATTTATTGATACGCCACGATACGGAACGCAAATCTCAAGTACAGCGATACCTCGCTATTGTGCCTTTCAATAAACCGCTAACTTGGTTATAGCGCGCGGTAACGCATGGCTCCCAAAAACGTACTTACATTTTTAATAAGCTCAGGTTTTACACTGACAGATGTTTTTCCCAATCTCAAAAAACATTATCAGCTGATCACTGCAAGCACGTAACACTGGAAATACCTGTCAGCAAATCCGAACTGAAGTACGCAATTTCAATACCATTATTATACTATACTAGCCACATTAAGAAACTGTGCACGGAGAAAATATAGATATAAGGGCACACCGTCCATATATGAAATATAGGTTTGAACACAGCAATTATTGGAGACATTCAAACGCTCATGCACGTGCCATGCGATATGACGTCATTGATGGGGGCCTATGGACGTGCAATGTGTTACTGCACGTGCATCCTGTGCAGCTGTACACAGCATGTGCAACTCAAAATTCGCTGTCACTTTGGAAAGCATAATCTGTGGTCATTCAAAAATTCAAAACTTCTCAGGCGCAGACACAAGCATATCACAAGCAAATCATGCCAAGATTGACAGCTGCACAGCGTCATGAAGCCATTGGAATGATCCGATTGGGAATGAGGCAACAACAGGTGGCAACAAATTTCCAATGCCATCGTAACACGATATCGGCATTGGTGAGGCGTTATCAGAACACAAATGACGTTGCCGACCACCCACGTTCAGGACGTCCACGAGTAACGACGCCAAGACAGGACAGATGGATTCGAGTTACACATCTCCGACACAGGTTCCAAACGGCAGTAACAACGTCCCAGACAATTCCTGGACTGCGCCGTATCCATCCCAACACTGCCAGGAATCGTTTACGTCAGTACGGGATTCGACCACGACGCCCTGCCATACGTCCCATCCTGACACACTGTCATCAAGTCAACCGTCTAAGATGGTGTCAAAATCATGTTCGCCAACCTCGAATATGGTGGAGAAATGTTGTCTTTACAGATGAATCGAGGTTCAACATTTCCCACAGTGACGGGCGCCAACGTGTCTACCGGCATTTGGGAGAACGTTATGCACGCAACTGTATTGTGGAGAGGAATCGTTTTGGAGATGGCTCTGTGATGATTTGGGGTGGGATAACAGCACAGCACTGAACCCCTTTGGTGGTTGTTCAGGGCAATCTCACCGGTGTTGGCTACAGAGATCAGATTCTGAGGCCTGTGGTCATTCCTTTCCTGCAACGTCATGGCCCGGGATTGACATTTGAACAGGACACCGCTCGTCCTCACACGGCTAGAGTCGCAATGGATTTCCTTCACCATACCAATGTCATGTTACTGCCATGGCCTGCAATTTCTCCAGATCTCTCCCCAATAGAGCATGTGTGGGATGAAATAGAGCGCTGTCTGTGCCATCTTCAACATCATCCAGATAACGTCCGTGACATGGCACAGGATTTGAGGAGGATATGGCAGGCCATTCTCCAGGCCTTCCATGCCCATTTGGTGGACTCCATGTGTCGCCGATGCACTGCTGTGATTCACGCACAGGGTGGTCATACCCGTTATTGAATTGTGACTTTGTCGAATGACCCCCTACTCCATTTTGATCTTCTGACGTCATCGTAACAGATGTTGTTCAGGTGCCGTTGACATTTTCTTATGGTCCGATCATTCAGCTGCTACAGCGTCTGCATCATTTTGTTCTTGCTGTGTTGTATTTCAATCCAGAATATATTTTCTCCGTGCACAGTTTCTTTATGTGGCTAGTATATCTTGTTATTAAAACATGTTCATTGAATATCTGGACATGTGTTTGTAATATATTTTATTGATTTTACTCAAAATTTCATTAAATATTGTTTTCATTAAGTTAGGTGAAATCGTGTGTGAAGAGATACAGCAACGATGTCAGATTACCACTTCTGATGCATTGAAACTTTAGTTGCTAGAGAATGGATACATATATAAAAAATGCCATACTTTGACTTGTTAAAAGTCATATTTGTGGCAATTTGGCTAATATATGTTAACATAACGTTTTCGCAATTGAAATACATGTAGCGCGGGAAGTCCCTACGGTGACTGGTCAAATTGTTCCTTACGTAAAAATATCCTGCAACAACAATCACCAGTACCAAAATGCTGCACTTGTGGTTCTTATAATTTTAAATATATATATAGTAAAAGCTGCAACTAAAGTAACACGATATTTGAATATATTATTCCTGATAAAACAATAATTTCAGACACAATTTCGTCGACCATTGCATCAAAATTCTTTGAAGTTGTATCACTGGTGAAGTACATCAATTATTTTCTGGTGTTTGAACTTTGAATTGTTTTGAAGGAAAATTAGAGAAAGTTCCACTTTGAAGCTTAACAACTAGTCCTGTAATTATAAAATAATTTTGACTGTTCCAAAATCATGAAAGGTTCAATCTTGACATGCTTTAAGTCTTATTTTTTATCATTGCGTAGTGAGATACGTATCGTATCGTGACAGGATATCGAGATGCGTATCATATCGTGACCATCCTGTATCGTTGCAGCTCTAGAACCCGAACAACTGCTTCAAGACGCCTCCGCATTCTTTGGGGGGCACGGGTGGCCCAGTCGTCTAAGGCGCCGCGATTCGCTGTGCAGAGTTGCGTCCCTTGGGCACGCCAGAAACCTATGATTGTGGGTTTGAATCCCGGTTCGCCCCGATTATGTTTGTAGGTTTGTCAGCACCATACCCGTGCTCGTGGGTTTCACCGAAGTGGTAAACGTCTGAGACCTGCATCACTTCGGGCTTTCCTCCCACATTAAGCTGACACGCCGTGATATAACTGGAATACTGTTAAAAGCGGCGTAAAACCAAACTCACTCACTCACTCACTCCTCATTCTTTGGATCAATCTCTTGATTTTATTCTGAGGAATTCTGTCCCATTTCTCATGTGAAGCAGCAGTCAATTCATTGAGTGTATGGACAGGTGGGTTTCTTTGTCGAACACGACGGCCTAAAATGGAACAGAATGGGACAGAACTCCTCAGAATCAAATCCAGAGATCCACATGTATATATTGTGTCTGTCCAACTGTCCCTTCATTCCTTCCCATACAATCATTGTGCCCCTATTCGCTGTGCAGAGTTGCGCCCCCTGGACACGCCAGAAACCTATGATTGTAGGTTCGAATCCCGGTTCAACCCGATTATGTTTCTAGGTTTGTCAGCACCATACCCGTGCTCGTGGGTTTCACCGAAGAGTGAACGTCTAAGACCTGCATCACTTCGGGCTTTCCTCCCACATTAAGCTGAACCGCCGTAATTCTGTTAAAAGCAGCGTTAAACCCAACTCACTCACTGAATCCAGGAATTGTCCGTATTCAGGTTTGGGTCAGGTATCCGTGGAACTCGCACCGGCATCATCTTCAACGATGAGATGGACGACTTCTCCTCCCCCAACATCACCAACGCATTCGGCATCCCCCCATCACCCGCCAACTTCATCAAACCTGGGAAACGCCCACTGTCCTCCATGTGCCCAGCGATATTTGTGGACAAGAATGGTGACGTTAAACTAGTTGTGGGTGCTGCAGGCGGGTCTCGCATCACCACAGCAACAGCATATGTGAGTTCAAATTGTTTGTGTTGGTGTACAGTGTGTCTTTGGATGAGTGCCTGTTTTACAAATGACACGTGTTTGGCAGGACGATGTGAGCTGTGTGGTGAGTGATTCATCTTGTGTGATGCGTTTTGAGTGAGGTTTTAGTGAGGGATTTTTCACAATTCTTTTGAAGAGGTGAAAAATGTGGTAAAAATCTTAGTTTTGTTTGTGTTAATCTGCTAACAAGCTTCAGTCTTACAGAGCAGGATAGCTTCAGTCAAACAGCAGCATTAGCTTTGGTCTAACAGCAGCATTAGCCTCAATCAAACAGCTGCATTTGCTTCAGTCAAACAGGAGCATTAGCCTCGATCAAACAGCAGCATTAGCTTCAGTCAAACAGCAGCATTAGCCTCTATCAAACAGCAGCATTAGCTTCAGTCAAACAGGAGCATTAGCATCGATCAAACAGCAGCATTAGCTTCAGTCAAACAGGAGAATTAGCTTTGGTCAAACAGCAGCATTAGCCTCTATCAAACAGCAGCATTAGCTTCAGTCAAACAGGAGCATTAGCTTTGGTCAAACAGCAGCAATAGCCTCGATCAAACAGCAGCATTAGCTTCAGTCAAACAGGAGAATTAGCTTTGGTCAAACAGCAGCATTAGCTTCAGTCAAACAGGAGCATTAGCTTTGGTCAAACAGCAGCATTAGCCTCGATCAAACAGCAGCATTAGCTTTGGTCAAACAGCAGCATTAGCTTAGGTTAAACAGCAGCATTAGCCTCGATCAAACAGCAGCATTAGCATTGGTCAAACAGCAGCATTAGCTTTGGTCAAACAGCTGCATTACCGTCGGTCAAACAGCAGCATTAGCTTCAGTCTAACAGAGCAGCATTAGCTTCAGTTAAACAGCATAATTAGCTTTGGTCAAACAGCAGCATTAGCTTCAGTCTAACAGCAGCATTAGCTTCAGTCAAACAGCAGTATTAGCTTCAGTCAAACACAACATAGAGGAATTAAAATACAACAATATGTTGTGCATTTTGTTTTGTGCAGCGTGTGTTGTGTGATGTTTGATCTATGACGTGCCACTTGAGATGTGTGACGTGTGACATACGATGTGTGATGTATGATTACAACATGTGATGTGTGACGTAACATGCGATGTCTGACGTGTAAAGTGTGATGTGTGATTTGAGGCCTGTAATGTGTGACTTGTGACATGCAACGTGTAATGTGTGATGTGTGACTTGTAATGTGTGATGTGTAACGTGTAATGTGTGATGTGTGACGTGTAATGTGTGACGTGTAATGTGTGATGTGTAACGTGTAATGTGTGATGTGCAACGCGTAATGTGTGACGTGTAATGTGTGATATGTAACGTAATGTGTGATGTGTAATGTGTGATGTGTAACGTGTAACGTGTAATGTGTGATGTGTGTCGTGCAACGTGTAATGTGTGATGTGTGACGTGTAATGTGTGATATGTAACATGTAATGTGTGACGTGTAATGTGTGATGTGTAACGTGTAATGTGTGATGTGCAACGTGTAATGTGTGATGTGTGACGTGTAATGTGTGATATGTAACATGTAATGTGTGACGTGTAATGTGTGATGTGTAACGTGTAATGTGTGATGTGTGACGTGTAATGTGTAACGTGTAACGTTTAATGTGTGACTTGTGACGTGTGACGTGTAATGTGTAACGTGTGATGTGTGACATGTAATGTGTAATGTGTGACGTGTGACGTGTGATGTGTTTGTTGCAGGTTGCTGCTCGGGTCCTATGGCTAGGGGACGACATCAAGCAGGCCATCGACGCCCGTCGCCTCCATCACCAGCTGCTGCCACCATTCATCTCTTTTGAACCAGAGTTTGACTCAGTAAGTAGAGGGTGTGGCACATCTTGAACCACAGTTTGACTCAGTAAGTAGAGGGTGTGGTACATCTTGAACCAGGCTTTGACTCAGTGAGTAGAGGGCGTGGTACATCTTGAACCAAGCTTTGACTCAGTAAGTAGAGGGCGTGGTACATCTTGAACCACAGTTTGACTCAGTGAGTAGAGGGTGTGGCACATCTTGAACCACAGTTTGACTCAGTAGAGGGTGTGGTACATCTTGAACCAAGCTTTGACTCAGTGAGTAGAGGGTGTGGTACATCTTGAACCACGCTTTGACTCAGTAGAGGGTGTGGTACATCTTGAACCAAGTTTTCACTCAGTGAGTAGAGGGTGTGGTACATCTTGAACCACGCTATGTTGAACCACACTTTGACTCAGTGAGTAGAGGGTGTGGTACATCTTGAACCAAGCTTTGACTCAGTGAGTAGAGGGTGTGGCACATCTTGAACCACGCTTTGACTCAGTAAGTAGAGGGCGTGGTACATCTTGAACCACAGTTTGAGTCAGTGAGTAGAGGGTGTGGTACATCTTGAACCACAGTTTGACTCAGTGAGTAGAGTGTGTGGTACATCTTGAACCACAGTTTGACTCAGTAAGTAGAGGGTGTGGTACATCTTAAACCAAGCTTTGACTCAGTGAGTAGAGGGCGTGGTACATCTTAAACCAAGCTTTGACTCAGTGAGTAGAGGGCGTGGTACATCTTGAACCACGCTTTGACTCAGTGAGTAGAGGGTGTGGTACATCTAAAACCAAGCTTTGACTCAGTGAGAAGAGGGTGTGGCACATCTTGAACCAAGCTTTGACTCAGGAGAGGGTGTGGTACATCTTGAACCACGCTTTGACTCAGTAGAGGGTGTGGTACATCTTGAACCAAGCTTTGACTCAGTAAGTAGAGGGTGTGGTACATCTTGAACTAAGCTTTGACTCAGTAAGTAGAGGGTGTGGTACATCTTGAACCACAGTTTGACTCAGTAAGTAGAGGGTGTGGTACATCTTGAACCACGCTTTGACTCAGTAAGTAGAGGGTGTGGTACATCTTGAACCACGCTTTGACTCAGTAAGTAGAGGGTGTGGTACATCTTGAACCACGCTTTGACTCAGTAAGTAGAGGGTGTGGTACATCTTGAACCACGCTTTGACTCAGTAAGTAGAGGGTGTGGTACATCTTGAACTAAGCTTTGACTCAGTAAGTAGAGGGTGTGGTACATCTTGAACCACAGTTTGACTCAGTAGAGGGTGTGGTACATCTCATTCACTCACAGAATCACATATTTGTCTGTTTCAGGGAGTTATTGCTGGACTGGAAGCTCTAGGTCATAATGTCTCGTACACCAAGTTGGGAGAATCCATCGTCCAGGGCGTCACCCGATCCAAACACTGGCTGTACGCCAACTGCGACTTCCGCAAAGGAGGCTATCCGGCAGGCCTGTGATCTGTTCCCATCACAATCAGGAGAAAGAGATGTTTGAAATATCAAATTATTTTTTTAATTATTTTTATGGAAGAAAGATTTTCATTTTTATTATTTTTATCAAGTTTGTGAGGGTAAAAAATCTTCTTCAAACCAGTATGCCGGATGAAAGCTGTCCAAATGATGTGTGAGCAACACATTCATTGTCAGATACAGCTGGAGGAAGATACCATTCGTGACCAACTCCTGTTATTCCGGGACAAGCCGAATAGCGACTCGTGCCTCTCTCATGGCCATTTTTGCGACCGGGTTCCGTCTGAGCACAAACAGGCATACCTAAAAGAATGGTCAACTCGTTGCGTAATGGTTCACATACATTTCCCCATATATTATATATATTTCAGATGCAATTTAAAGCACATTGGGACATGCGGAATTACACAGTATGATTGAACACATTTAACTGTGCCTTGGGTATATTTTTAGATGCAAGACATGTAAAATCAAAAATTATTTCTGAGGGATTCTTTGACGAAGAACTTGAAATCATACTCGCATTCTGATTGGTTTGTCGTACACATAACATTGAACCATGCTTGGAGTTGAACTCACAACTGACTGACCATTATGTTTACAAACAAGAGATGACTGCAGGGACTCCGAATACTCTTATTCCAATTATTTACTTTGTCAATTTGAATTTTTGTTTCTTTACAACTATCAGGTAATTGGTGTAGTAAAAATGTAAGGGAGAAGTTGGTGGATTCGTCTGTGATCTTGAACCAATCTGATCAAACAGACAAAAAAGGTAAATTCATCTGGGAAATTTGATCAGTCGTAAACCTTTTCAAAATTAACTGTGATGACATTCCCAAAGACATAAAAAAAGTATAAACATGACTACATTTGGGGTTAGAGGGCAAATTTAAAGATTCTTGTAATGGCCGCGACCACACAAGTGGCAACGATGTTACCGAGTGTGTAACGAAGGTGTCACTCCCTTGGCGGAGAAAATATGCTTACTCATATAAAGAAAACTGCTACAATGGTAGATCCACCTGGTGGCAGATACTTGTGTGGTGAAGGGGAGACAACTACTCAAACCAACATTCCACTACCTGAAACATTGTCCAGCATTTAATGTATACAGAGTATCTATTTATGCACAATACATTGTATATATATATGTATAGATATATATATTTTTTAATTTGGTTATGTGTGTCAGTTATTGGAGTTAACAGAGCATGAGATCTGATTTATGCCAGCCATAGACCCATCTGAGGGCTCCTACTTATGCATGGAAGTGTGTGTGTGTGTGTGTGTGTGTGTGTGTGTGTGTGTGTGTGTGTGTGTGTGTGTGTGTGTCTCTGTGTGTGTGTCTGTGTGTTGGTCTGACCAACAGATCAGTGTCTGCCTACCACAGAACTATCTCGCTTGGGAAGGAGGGACAACTGCTGCATGCTAACAATGTCTTTATGTTTTGTTTTGTTTGTTGTTTAACGCCACACTCAGCAATATTCCAGCTATATGACGCGGTCTCTAAATAATCGAGTCCTGACCAGATAATCCAGTGATTGACATCATGAGCATCGATCCACGCATTTGGGACACGATGACATCCATCAACCAAGTCAGCGAGCCTGACCACCCATCCATTAGTCGCCTCTTATGACAAGCATAGCCCCCTTTTATGGCAAGCATGGGTTGCTGGAGACCGAGTTTACCCCGGATCTAATGTGTATATGTAGTTGAATGATATTTACTCTTGTTTATCCTTTCGTGTTTCTGTTTCTGTTATATATGGTGGACCTTAGTGGGTGAGTGAGGGAGTGAGTGAACGAGTGAGTGTTTGTACCGCTGCTGTGAACAGTTTCGAACCCACAATGAAAGAGGCATCTCTGCTGCCCTGCTTGATAAGGTAACTTACTCTGAGAAGTGTGGGTTTGAATCCCGGATGGGACTCAGACTCTAACACTGCTAGAATTTACCGTATTCGACGTAATAAGCGCCCCGCTCTAATAAGCGCCCACAGCGATATTTGCTAATATATTGGCTAGTGAACAATCCCAGTTGGCACCCCTTCTGATTGATCAATGTACACAAGACTTATTTTTTCGCGTATAATACGCACTCGTTTGTTATATGCACCCTTAATCATGGGCAATTATATTCTGAAAAAATATATCTGTCGTACATAAACATTTCAGGCTGTCAGCATAAACCACGAAATTTATCTTTTAACTCTGTTTTTTTCACCAAAATAATATTCTAATAAGAGCCCCCTATTTTCTAATTTTTAGAGCGCCCTGGGCGCTTATTAAGTCGAATACGGTATATGAAACCACGAAAGCCCAATTCCCCAAATAACCTATGTTACAGTTGACCACTTGTGTTATCGTACTCTTTGTGAGTCTTGTCCAATGAAGTAATGAGGTTAATAATTACTCTTCTTCCTGAGGCAAGGGAGTTAGCTGAGTATAAAAGTCCAGTTTCCACCCTCGTTGAATTAGGCTGAAATTATGGAGTTATATTTTGGGTGGACTAACGAGTTAATGTATAGTCAAAATCGCGTAAAGAAATCAGCATCTGGTTTGTAAACTGCTGTGCAGATTTCGTCGAATGCGAGATTTTAAAATCTTCTCATATTTTTATCCATGGTGCTCACTTTATTTGACGCAGACCGCCTCCGTGGTCTAGTGGTAGAGCGTCCGCCCGAGCGACGTTCAAAGATGGTACTTGTTGTTACCCTGTCTCGGCATAAAGGGGCTAAAACAAGGACTGGTCGGCTCGGAGTCAGTATACTGTGTCTGAGTGTGGTATTCATGTTATTTTGCGGCATGGTATCTCAGTGAGCTAGCACTGTAAATAGGCACTAGTCCGGACTAGTACAAGCAGCCACACACATACATGCATGCATGTCGCTATATAAGTGCAATAATCTTGGACGCGACGTTAAACCCAATTTTACCTCAGCTTAGCTGATGCACTTTGCGAAGTAAGACCCTTTTATTACGATGTAGATCTTGATTTCCGACCAGATCGTTTCACTGGGCGACAACATTTTGTTTGAGGCCAATGCAAGTGGTATGAGAGTGAAATCTGATTGGTCAATTGGAGGGGCATAACTCATTATATCGACTGGTGGCGCTAAGATCGAACCCAGAAATTGCAGCCTAGATCGGCAATACAGTCAGTTAAGTCCCTTGCCTCGGGGCGATGTAATTACTCGGCGTACACGTGCTAGGTCTGACACCTAACTATTGCTATAAGGGACTTTCCTTCATATTCAATGTTAAACTGAATCACATGCAGATCTGGAAAAGATGATGAAAATAAATGCTTATGATTTGTAGTTGTTGTGTAGTTCATGCAGACAGAGTTTGTTCGTGTTTTGTGTCAAGCCGCACTCAACAATATTCCAGCTATATGACGGCGGATTGTAAATAATTAAGTCTGGACCAGACAATCCAGCGATTGACATCATGACCATCAATCCACGCAATTGGGAAATGATGACATGCATCAACCATGTCAGCGAGCATGACAACCCGATCCCGTTAGTCGCCTCTTACGACAAGCATAGTCACCTCTTACGACAAGCATAGTCGCCTCTTACGACAAGCATAGTCGCCTCTTACGACAAGCATAGTCACCTCTTACGACAAGCATAGTCGCCTCTTACATCAAGCACAGTGTTTTACGACTATGCTTGTCGTAAGAGGCGACTAACGGGATCTGGTGGTCATGAAACCTCAAACGTAACTCCTTTAAGTAACTCCTTTACTTTGCCGCCTCCGTGGTCTAGTGGTAGAGCGTCCGCCCGGAGAGCGGAAGGTCCGGGGTTTGATCCCCGGCCGCGTCATACCAAAAGACGTTAAACGATGGTACTTGTTGTTACCCTGTCTGGCGTTCGACATTAAGGGGCTAAAACAAGGACTGGTCGGCTCGGAGTCACTATACTGTGTCTGAGTGGGGTATTCATGTTAAACTGCGTCATGGTATCTCAGTGAGCTAGCACTATAAATCGGCATCAGTCCGGACTAGTACAAGCAGCCACACACACACACACACGTGCATGCACGTCGCTATATAAGTGCAATAATCTTGGACGCGACGTTAAACCCAATTTCACCTAACCTCGCCTTTACTTAATCCAGCAGCTCCATACTTTTTTTAGGGATTGACTAAGGTCAAAAACAGTACCTGTGTTACCATGATGTCTTTGTCAGTAAATTTCAATCACAACTCACCAATTATCTTCTTTATTTGTTGTGAAATGTTTGTTCTATCTGATGACATTGGTATCGCCCAGCTCCTGTGGTCAGTCATCCCATGCCATGAATTGAGCCATTTGTCATGGTTCAGAAATAGGGGTGTGCTTAACTTTTTTCTTTGTGTATATTTGGAACCCAGGTCTCCTACACTCTCACTCAAATGTGGGGGCACGGGTGGCCCAGTCGTCTAAGGCGCCGCGACTCGCTGTGCAGAGTTGCGTCCCTTGGGCACGCCAGAAACCTATGGTTGTTGGTTCGAATCCCGGTTCGCCCCGATTATGTTTCTAGGTTTGTCAGCACCACACCCGTGTTCGTGGGTTTCACCGAAGTGGTAAACGTCTGAGACCTGCATCACTTCGGGCGAACCTCTTACATTAAGCTGACACGCAGCGATATAACTGGAATACTGTTAAAAGCGGCGTTAAACCCAACTCACTCACTCACTCACTCACTCAAATGTCTAAAGAACTGGCACCCGGGTGAAGTGAAGTGAAGTGAAGTTAAACTGATGTCCTGATGGGAGGTGGCTGAGGTGAAATGGGGTTTAAGGTCGCTTCCAAGATTATTGCACTTATTTTGAGACGTGCATGCACGTGTGTGTGTGTGTGTGTGTGTGTGTGTGTGTGGCTGCTTGTACTAGTCTGGACGTATGCCGATTTATAGTGCTAGCTCACTGAGATACCATGCCGCAGTGAGACTACCCCATTCAGACACAGTATACTGACTCCGAGCCGACCAGTCCTTGTTGTATCCCCTTTATGCCGAGCGCCAGACAGGGTAACAACAAGTACCATCGTTTAACGTCTTTTGGTATTTCTGCCATATTACTGGAATACTGTTAAAAGCGGCGTTAAACCAAACTCACTCATTCACTCGTTCACTTATTTACTTACATTGGAGATTTTACGTGCGCTTTCCGACTGAGAGCGTATTTCGCACACGGTGTTCGTTCACTGCACCCGCTGCTAAATATAGCTGCTCGCAGTCACGTGACTGTCGATCCTCAGTCGGAACTCAACACACAGTTTGTGGCAATGTATTATATTACATCATTGAATGCGTGTAACAAGGCCTGTACATCCACTTTATGAGGAAAGTATTACATCTCTCCATATTCTCTCATGTTGCGGGGGCACGGGTGGCCCAGTCGTCTGAGGCACCTCGATTCGCCGTGCAGAGTTGCGTCCCTTGGGCACGCCAGAAACCTATGATTGTGGGTTCGATTCCCGGTTCGCCCCGATTATGTTTCTAGGTTTGTCAGCACCACACCCGTGTTCGTGGGTTTCACCGAAGTGGTAAACGTCTGAGACCTGCATCACTTCGGGCTTTCCTTCGACATTAAGCTGACACGCCGTGTTATAACTGGAATACTGTTAAAAGCGGCGTTAAACCCAACTCACTCACTCACTCACTCTAATGTTACTTTAGGATGGCGTAGATATGTTATCACTATTGAAGAGGGAAAGTTTACTGCTGCAGATTTGGGGCTGGATATCAGCCTCTGAGCAAGTCTAGATTTATCCCTGGTGACATGCCCAACTCCATGTCCCAGATGCCGAAATAAAATTTGTTATGGATTCATTTTTAATATAATTAAAATCAATAGTAGTGAGGGGAAATTCTTTGTTAAATGGCGACGTCGCAGGACTGAAAGGTGAAGATATAATACTAGTATATAGACTTTATTAGGGACGACTGACCATTTAATATTCAAGGGTGGAGACTACTGGGCGGTGGGGTAGCCTAGTGGTCAAAGCGTTCGCTCGTCTCGCCGAAGACACGGGTTCGATTCCCGACATGGGTACAATGTGTGAAGCCCATTTCTGGTGTCGTGATATTGCTGGAATATTGCTAAAACCGGCGTAAAACCATACTCACTCACTCTTTCATGTTTATTCATTGAAAAGATCCACTAACTCTATGCCTTTCAGGTTATATTGGTTTTACTTAGAGCACCAGATAAAAAACGTGGGCAATGTAACTGTTGACAATCTATTGATTTGCAACTTGTGCGTGCTTGTGTTTACGGTTTCCAATACTTTTGATACAATTACTATGGGAAGTAAAAACAAAATTTAGTTACCCCGCCCCGAAGAATGATATATTATTGACATGCTGTATATTGACAATATAATATATTCTGCCTGACATGAGCACTTCGAAGTAGTGCACGCTTCTCACTTTCAGGCATGGTGACTTCCTCATTGACCGATACACCATTACATCGGACTTATGACTCATTCTCAATCCCCACATGCAATTAGACAACTAAAATATAACCCCAAACATCTAGACTAAAATCTAGTCTCTGAAATAAACATATCGTACATAAAAAAAACAGTTGTTCAGTTATCTTAATAAAAATATAATAAAAAGGAGCCCAGTGACTCTCTCCTGATACTGCAGTGATCTAGACTTGCCAAACATGATAGACTTGCATGGGCTGTATTTGATATATATTTGTATCAGGGTCTGTAAGACAGACTACATTACATCGGACTTATGATTCATTCTCACTCCCCATATGCAATTTGACAACTAAAATATAACCCCAAACAGATTATATATAACCCTCCTCTTTAGATATTTTTTGACACTCGACTGGTACCCACATATTCTGAACCGAATTCATCGCCCGTGCAATCAAGTTTCGCCGGGTGTGACGCCATAGCAAATAGCCTGTGGTTGTCCCCCTTCACGCCTACCACGAGGAAGGAAGCTTGTGGGCGGGGCTTATCGATCGGGACTGGATCCGCGTATGCGGGTGTACACACCGTAACATGTCGGAGGGAACACAATTTTGAACAAAGGAGCTCAAGCGGGATGTTGTTCAAGGAGAGCATTTTGTTTATTGAACGAACTGTTTTATAGGATTCGGTGAGTACCTAAGAGAACAAACAACTGTATGGATGACAACGCCAGGCTTAGATCTATGACATCTAGCAACATTTTGATTTAGATTCTTACATTGTTATCAAGCTGGGTGCTTTTGTACAAATCGATCATGCAGCGTCTATTCAGATTTAAGAATATATCTTGCGAAAAGTGCCTCGTCTATTAACCCTAAGTCCATATCTGATCGCCTATGGACCAGGCCAAATTCATTATGCAGTGCGATTATTGATCAATGTCTGTTGATGCTCTGGACAACGTGTTCAAGCGTAGGATGAAGAGAAAAGCTGTGTTTACATCGTTCAACATTCATTCTAGGCTGATGATTGGAAAGGTTATTTGCCTCCTCTGGTCCTAACCAGCTGTATTGATGATCACGTTGTGTGAAGGGATAGTGTCAGTTGACATCACGAGTGAAGACCCGGGGTAGGTTTTCAGCAACCCCCCACACACGTGCATGCACGTCGCTATATAAGTGCAATAATCTTGGACGCGACGTTAAACCCTATTTCACCTCACCTGACCTGAGGTGTACGAAAACATGACAATACATGGCGACCCTCGTCGTCGTGGACACAGCAATTGCCACAATCAGGTTTCTATAGGGTGGTGGCGGGGTCTTTCGGTGTGTAGTCACTCAACCTTAACTTAGTTGATTATGTCCGATGTGCACTGGTAGAGATAAGGTTCCATTTTGTCATGATCTTTATATTTTCTGTAGGCTCTGAATCGATTTCGCGACTTGTACATAATGAAATATACTGTAAACTACGTTTATAACGAACACGCTTATGACGAGGTGACGCATATAACGGACTGTTGTTTTGGTCCCGGCCATTTGCGGCATGCTTTAGTTTAAACGCTTATAACGAACTCCGGTTATAACGAACAAAATATATTGGTCCCTTTATGTTCGTTATAACTGTTGTATTTGTAAAATATATTTGGATCAGTGAGTATATAGAGGTCACTCCTCTCAAAGCAGGAGGATACGGCCACATCAGTGAATCTTTCCACCCGCATCACGTGTTCTGCTCGGACCTGTATTGCACATGCGAGGAATATATCGATCAATTCAATATAGCTTTTAAACCCGGGGAATACAGCTTCCAGTACACATTACTTGTCGGGTGCTAACACAGTGTGACCCGATTGATTGCTGCCAGTGTTTCCCAACACAGTGGAAGACCGCTTTGGAGACACATTCGATTAGGAAAAGTCTGTCGTGATATAGCTGGAAGAACTGCATACTGACTAAAGTTACTCACCCACTCCCACAACGTGACTCACCTTTAGGTGAGGTGGGATAAGGTGAAACGGGTTTGACAAGATATTCATGAACACAAGATACCCGATTCACAATCTTTCAAGGGGCTACACAAGATATTCATGAACACTAGATACCCGATTCACAATCTTACAAGGTGCTACACAAGATATTCATGAACACTAGATACCCGATTCACAATCTTACAAGGGGCTACACAAGATATTCATGAACACTAGATAGCCAAATTACAATCTTACAAGGCGATACACCAGATATTAATGAACACCAGATACCCGATTCGCCATCTCACAAGGTGATACACCAGATATTCATGAACACTAGATACCCGATTCACAATCTTACAAGCTGATACACAAGATATTCATGAACACTAGATACCCGATTCACAATCTTACAAGGTAATACATAAGATATTCATGAACACTAGATACCCGATTCACAATCTTACAAGGTGATACACAATATATATACATGAACACCAGATACCCGATTCACAATTATAGAAGGGGCTACACAAGATATTCATGAACACTAGATACCCGATTCACAATCTTACAAGGGGCTACACAAGATATTCATGAACACTAGATAGCCGAATTACAATCTTACAAGGCGATACACCAGATATTAATGAACACCAGATACCCGATTCGCCATCTCACAAGGTGATACACCAGATATTCATGAACACTAGATACCCGATTCACAATCTTACAAGGTGATACACAAGATATTCATGAACACTAGATACCCGATTCACAATCTTACAAGGTAATACACAAGATATTCATGAACACTAGATACCCGATTCACAATCTTACAAGGTGATACACAATATATATACATGAACACCAGATACCCGATTCACAATCATAGAAGGGGCTACACAAGCTATTTATAAACACAAGGTACCCGATTCACAATTTTACAAGGTGATACAAAAAATATTCATGAACACTAGGTACCCGATTCACAATTTTACAAGGGGCTACACAAAATATTCATGAACACTAGGTACCCGATTCACAATCTTACAAAGGGGGACACATGATATTCATGATCACTAGATACTCGATTCACAATCTCACAAGGTGAAACACAAGATATTCAAGAACACTAGATACACGATTCACAATCTTACAAGGGGCGACACAAGATATTCATGAACACAAGGTACCCGATTCACAAGTGTTGATGTATATGTTATCAGAAGACAGACGTGTCCCCAGATAGCGTGCTGTATTCTTTGTTTGTTTGTTTGTTGTTTAACGCCGCACTCAACATTGTTCCAGCTATAAGACGGCGTACTGTAAAAAAGTTAGTCTGGACCAGACAATCTAGTGACTGACATCATGATCCACGCAATTTGGATGCAAAGTATTATATCTCTCCATATCTTCTCATGTACCCGTGAAGATCTGGGGTAGAATAGGTTTTCAGCAACCCATGCTTGCCGAAAAAGGCGACTATGTGTGTCGTAAGAGGCGACGAACGGGATCGGGTGGTCAGGCTTGGTTGATGCATGCCATCGTATCCCAATTACGTAGATCGATGCTCATGATGTCAATCTCTGGATCGTCTGGTACAGACTCGAATATGTACAGACCGCCGTCAAAGAGCTGGAATGGTGTTGAGTGCGGCGTTAAACAACAAACAAACACACATCTTGTGTCGTTTCTTAATTATGTCTATTGTCAGAAATGCACTATGTGTAAAGATATAATAGGAGAGTGAATTTCTAACACTCGTAAATATTAATTGATCTAGAAATATTTAAGCAACGCTACAAGGGCCTATGGTCTGAGGGTCGCGTTCTACAAAGCTACCGTTACTGTATGTGTTAACGTCTGAGGTAGCGTGACTGTTGTTTGGCTGCTGACGTCGCCGTCCACAACGGCGTGTTCATTTATCCTGCTATTTGATCATTTCAGGAACTGATTCTAAAGAGGTACTCATTTTTGTGTGACGTATCAGAAACATATTCGTTCTCTGTTTTAGGTTCAGACGATGCAACGATTACCGCGCATAGTCGCTGTGAGTGGTATATTGTTGTGTGGAATGGTTGTGCTGTACTGCAGCGTGGCAGGGCAGGATCCAGTGTGGCTGATGCCGCTTCAAGCTTCCCCTGTGAACTACACAATCGACAGTCTGTCGGATACAGACCTAGCATCGCTCAGGGCAGACAATGACATCAATGATGGCCCATACTACAAATTGGTTGTCAATGCTTCTACGAAATTTCCATATTTCTACAAGCCAATTTCATTTCACTCCACCGAAAAGTACAGACAGAAGGTTTCCTTCAACGTGAATTTCGAAAATGCACACCAGACAGCACATGAAAACCAATCAAAGATGATACTGTTTTATAACGCGCCGAAATGGTTTAATTTCAGGGATTTTTGTCCACGAGGTTTACAAAAGTGTCCACAGAAAGGCTGCGAATGTTCATACGATCCCGCGCAGATTGCAAAAGCAGATGCTGTGATCATCGATGTCGTTGAACTAGACAACATTCCACCTGCCAAACAAGCTAAGCATGTGTGGATCATGTTTGGCCTAGAGTGTCCAAAATATTTTCAAAGTCAATACTACGAATCCAGTCGATGGCGCCGCATGTTCAACTGGACTATGACTTATCGGCTGGACTCGGATATTGCCTTGCCTTACAGTGTTCTTTTTCGCAAGGCACCACAAAAATCAGCTAATTTCACTAAAATCGCTTTGAAAAAAACTAAGTCAATTCTTTGGTTTGTAAGTAACTGCAAGACGCCCTCTAGGCGTGAAGACTACGTCACCGAATTACGCAAGCATATACCAGTGGACATATATGGGAAATGTGGTCCCTCGCAGTGTACTCGTGACAGCGATTGCCAGCATTCATCTTTCAATGAATATAGATTCTATTTAGCGTTTGAAAATTCTTTGTGCATCGACTACATCTCTGAAAAGTTGTATAAAACCTATTCTCACAACATTGTTCCTGTCGTTCGTGGAGGAGCTGACTATAATTCCCTGATACCAAAAGGAACGTACATTAACGCAGCAGACTTTTCCAGTCCAAAAGAGCTGGGTAAATATCTTAATTATCTGGAAACAAATGCTACAGCTTATGGTGAGATCCTGGAAGAGAAATCCAGATATAGAAATGACAACCACGAAGCAGATGAATCTGCATTCTGTGATATTTGTGTGAAGCTTCATAATCTGGATAAATATTACCAATACTATTATGATAATGTCCGCTGGCTCAACGAAGGCACATGTCACAATCCCAACGACGTTTAATTAGATTTGTTTAGAGTTTATCATATTTGAAAGAGGAGTTGATATTCCTGACAATTGTACGCCTTCTCCAGGCAAGGGACTTCACTGACTATAAAAGTCCAGTTTCCAGCCTTGTGGAACTGGGCTGGAATTAAGGAGTTATATTTTGGCTGGACTAACGAGTTTGATAATAGTCCAATAAAAATTCGTAAACTGCTGTGCAGATTTTGGTCGATTGCAAGATTTGCATGCATGTGTAACGCCAACGAAGTGTCAACAGATATTTTCAAAATCCTTTCATGTTTTTAATCAAGATACTCACATGATTTGCTGCGCTTCTCGAAGAAAGACCCATCTTATTACTATGTAGATTTTGAATATCAATCATATCGTCTTGACTTGGCACCGCCATTTGATATGAGAGGTGAATGTGATTGGTCAATAGGAGGGACGAAGAGGGGACATAACTCTGATTGTTACTGGTGGCGCTACGATCGAGCCCAGAAATTCCAACCAAGGTTGGAAACTGGACTTTTACATTCAGTTTACTCCATTGCCTCGGGAAGATGACAATTGTATTAATATAAATGACATGCATTATGCATTCTGGTTTATGCATTATGATTTATCCACTGCTGATTTGTCCACTATTGGCTGCCCAAACCCTGCCATCTTCTACTTTAAACAGGCACTGCTCCTGTTTTGGCATGCACAACTTCCGGCTTTCCTCCAACAAAAATCTGACAAGCCGTGATATAACTGAATTCATTTACAGCAGCGTTAAACTCAACTACCTCACTCACTCTGACGTTTATGTTTCTGAAACTTTAGTTACTTATCCACAATGACGGGCAAACGAAGGTTGTTTCAAGTGTATCCTTCCTTTGCCCGGCAGTTAACATATGAACAAATAATACATTTAAATCTGTTCACAATTTGGTATATTTGATGTTTCTTTGTGTGAGGTTGAATCGAGACTGTATGTCATTTAATATTATATTTATCACGTGTGTATGTTTCCTGTTGAAGTTAGAATATAATAAAATATTGTCTACCTCTGTCTAACTGAGGTCACTAAACAAATTTCTTGGCTTTGCATGTGTTTGTGATGGGTGCCACCGGTGGGGCAGGATGCACTCACCTTTTAGCGAACACCTGGTATCATTACTATTTGATAGTGATTCATAGACACATGCTAATGGTTTAGTCGGAATTTTACAATCGACTCTGCTTTATGCAGAGATTTCTATTGAATATGGAAAGGGTTTTGTCGCTTTATTATTGTTATTATTATTATTATTATTATTATGTACAGATCAAAATAGAAAAAAAGAGTTTGGATGATCCTGGCACAGTCTGGCTGGTGAGGCATATCGTCAGCTCAGGGCCCTTGCCCCTCTACACGCAGCCCAGACAGCGAATGGGACTTCTCCCAGGACACGCTGCCTAGTCGAGAACTTTTTGGTGAAATAGAAGACTCCCCAACACCGCAGCCTTCTGCCTTACCCAGATTGTCAGAAGGGCTGTATTCCTGGTAGCAAACCCGGGTACTCTTCAAATGCCTGTCAACTGATTGGGAGGTACCAAACCTTAGGCACCGAGAACAATGGGGAGTCGGACAACTTGGTACTTGGGATGCAAGCGTGACATTTCGAAAGTGAGGTCCGCATATTTGCCATGTCTTTCCTCAATCTTGTCAATCACATTACTGTCAAAGGGGACAGAAAATTCAATGATATAAATTATTTCATTGGATTTATCAAAAAGGGCAGGATCAGGTTTGTTGGCCTGTAAAGGCTGTAAATGGGCCTATTCCAAAGACGTTCGTATCTATCATTTTCAATGACGCCCTCTACATATTCCGGGTCGTACCATGGATGGACCTCTGTGACAAAATCACAAGCATGGCGAAGAAAGCACTAAAATGATCAAGCCACACCATCATGCCGCAAAAAGCTGAGAATCCACTGACAATGTGTTGGACAGTCTTATTAATTTCATTGTACAATCTTCATTTCATATTTACATTTTGATGCAAAATCACCCATTGACGGTTTCGAGTGGGAAGTGACTGGTGCTGAGCAACAAAGAGAAAGCCTTCTAGAATATAAGATTACTAAAAAATTACTAAGCAGTATTCCAGTTTTGATAGCTGCCTGTAAATAATCAAATCTGGACCACACAATCCAGTGATTGACATCGTGATCACCAAACCATCCAATTGGGATACGATGACATGCCAGCCCAACCACCCAATCAGCTAAGGCGTCATGATGACCCCCAGGTTTAAGAGGCTAGGGCGAACCCTGTAGTGACCAGGCCCTATGGTCCAGTGCACAGAGTTTACAATGAAGGTGGAAACAGTTAAGATACACCTACATCACGTATCCACCTGAGTGAGTGTACAATACAATCAATGATTCTTGATTTGATTGAGAGTCTCCATGTTCACTGAGGTCCAGCTACGAGGATGGTGTTTCTATCTGCCAGTTGTGTTTAATTCATATGATTGGTTTATTTTGACTCAACCTAATAGCATAATGCTCTTGTTTCACTCGTCGGTCAGACAAAATTATTCTTTCTATAGCAGCAATGGTTTCCAGTTGGGTGGCATCTGAAGGCTTGTCTGACCTTAGGTCATCCTCTATGGACTCCCTACCCCTTTTAAACTGCGGAGACCAACGGCAAACTGTGGAATGGTCAGGAGCATCCTTACCCATCACTTTCCACATGCGATCATGGATTTCTTTCGCTTTGCATCCCTCCTTGGTATGAAAATTGATTACAGCGCATTGTTAATGATTGAGAGAATCCATGATTGTGACACCCTTAGGTGAATGAAGCCATCACATAACTTATTGTTGTGTCTGGAACATGTAATGACACGTGTCAACCTGATGTGATGACTAGTGTAACACCTGCACAAGTTGACATTGTTTGTGTAAACACAAATGCCCAAGTTGCAAAACTTATTGAACGCCCCTCATAGTTGAAATATTGCTGGATGCGGCGTTAAACAACAAACCAACCAACCCTTACTCACCTGTATGTCTTTCAGGTGTCTTGAAACTGATGTGAATAGCATATGTCAACATACCAAAATTCGAAAGCTGCGCCAAATTCTAAAGGTATGAGTCAGCCTACATACGGTCTCATTTACTCGTCGGTCGCCGTGGAAATCTTCCCAATTGTGATCTACTAGATCTACGATCTGGTTCAGATGAGCTCTATCCAAAAGAATATTGTTGGTCTGCCTTTCCACGTTGTACCAACTATCAAGGGTAGAATGGAAACATAAAACCAGAAAGAACAAGCTGATTTCCGATAGATTTTATTTAAATAGGTTACAGTGCATGTATGCACATGTGATCCCTGTGTCACGGAAAAACATACTCTGAATATTCCGCGTATATCAGCTTTGTTCTGAAGGGAAGTTACCGGTAGTGATGTCATATTAGTATAAGTTAACATCAACATCGTTGTGCATATTTGTTATTTTCTTTGATGTGCGGGTGAATTAGTACAAAACACATTTATTTCCTGGTTTAGTTTACTGTTTCCTTCTTGAATCATAATTTGAATCTCTCTTGGATATTTTTTTACATATCTGCAATTCTCTGCTGCAATATATGTGTACATGCATCAATTAGTGTTTAATATTATCTGATGAAGATCCGGGTAGAATAGGTCTTCAGCAACCCATGCTTGCCGTAACAGGCGACAATATTTAAGGGAATCCAACATTTATTCCGAAATGATATGCAAAGAAATTACATTGTGGGATTCAATCTTCATAGTAAAGTCAATATCTGGACCATCAGATCCAGGCATGACATCTTCACATTAAAGTGAATATCTGGACCGTCAGATCCAGGCATGACATCTTCACAGTAAAGTGAATATCTGGACCGTCAGATACAGGCATGACATCTTCACAGTAAAGTGAATATCTGGACCGTCAGATCGGCAAGCATTGTCGTATCCAAAGAGGGGAATAGTCTTCTGTTGCACGCCACTTCAACGTCCACCACAGCACCATTTGCCACCTTTGGGACACACAGTTCAATTCTACTTTCGACCGTCCGAGAACCGGCCGACCAAGAGTTACCACCCCCGCACAGGATCGCTACATTCGAATGTTCCACCTACGTCATCGCAATGCCACAGCTACGGAGATTGCACGACGCATCCCTGGTTTGAGCAGGATATCAGACCAGACTGTCAGGAACCATCTTCGCGAGGCTGGAATCCGACCCAGAAGACCAGTTATCGTCCCTGTTTTTCAACAGAACCATCGACAGCGTCGCTTGCGTTGGTGCCATACCTTACAACTGGAGACGAGTGTGGTTTATGTGACATGACAATGAACAGTTTTCAATGCTTTTGTACAACGACAACATGTAACTATCGAGCTCCAAAATTTCAAATTTGTATCTATGATATTACATTGCATTTACATTTATTATGTACAATAAATTAACTAAAAATCTACCTGTGCGGTTTTTATTTTGAAGACTGTACTTCCAGAAAATGTGACACCTGCAACTTCTCTCTACCACAACCCAGTAACCTAGTCTTCAAAATAAGAACCGCACAGGTACAACTCTCTCTCCCTCTCTCTCTCACACACACACACTTACACACGCATGCACACACACACACGAGACCGCAAGCACGCACGCACGCACACATAGGCACACACATTGACCATGTAATAATATATGGAGTTGAACCCTACCATTTGCAAGTTCTGAAACAACATTCTGCTTGCACTTAATCTTCCCTGCCTTGTCATACTTCACACGTCTGGTTGAGATAAAAACAAGAAGAAACATACATTATGTAAATAAATGATAGATTATTTTTAATATAGAGGCTTTGATAATTTCCACAATAACCTGAACTCTTTGAGAAAATAAATTATATTTACAGGAAATCGAGATACATGCTAAACTGCCATGGATTTCTGCCTATTCAATACCAAGACAGTTTGTATGCACAGTTGAATAGGGAGCACGGGTGGCCCAGTCTTCTAAGGCGCCGCGATTCGCTGTGCAGAGTTGCGTCCCTTGGGCACGCCAGAAACCTATGATTGTGGGTTCGAATCCCGGTTCGCCCCGATTATGTTTCTATGTTTGTCAGCACCTTCCCGTGCTCGTGGGTTTCACCGAAGTGGTAAACGTCTGAGACCTGCATCACTTCGAGCTTTCCCACCACATTAAGCTGACACGCCGTGATATAACTGGACTACTGTTAAAAGCGGCGTAAAACCCAACTCACTCACTCACTCACTCACAGTTGAATATGTGGGACGTAAGTGAAACAGAGTGAGCGCTCAAACATGTTCTGTTTGAGGCCGCAGTCGTCAATAATCAAGCTGTATCCCGATGTCCTGTACAACCAGTGGGGGGTCGATTACAAACAGTCAACCAAGTAACCGAAGCTTACAACCGATCTAATAGAGCTGCCTCTTGCAACGTTAGATAGAGCTACGGATTCTATTCTTTCCCGGGCTCAATGGGTGTGTGGGCTCAAAGAAAGGTCACTGACGAGCTTACAAACCATACCACTATATACACTATTTAATAAAAATCATGCTTTCTGGTTATCCATTGATAGCCATTTTCTTGGTACATTTATTGTGGTTCCTCTTTTATATTTAATCTAACTGTGGCTATGTCCACGCGCATTTGGTTCCGACAAAGTAAGCACGCCTGGAATGCTTAATAAGGGACCAAACTCTTTACACTGCATTCCGGCGCTGCAGTACAGAAAAAGGACTGGTCTGTCACAACGAGACAGTGGTCAGTACAGGACTGGAGTGGTCAGTTACATCCAGACAGTGGTCAGTACAGGGCAGGTCTGATCTGTCATACCCATACAGTGGTCAGTAGAGGACTGGTCTGTCACACCTAGACAGTGGTCAGTACAGGGCAGGTCTGATCTGTCATACCCATACAGTGGTCAGTAGAGGACTGGTCTGTCACACCTAGACAGTGGTCAGTATATGACTGGAGTGGTCAGTTACATCCAGACAGTGGTCAGGACAGGGCAGGTCTGATCTGTCATACCCATACAGTGGTCAGTAGAGGACTGGTCTGTCACACCTAGACAGTGGTCAGTATATGACTGGAGTGGTCAGTTACATCAAGACAGTGGTCAGGACAGGGCAGGTCTGATCTGTCACAACTAGAGAGTTGTCAGTACAGGACAGGACTGGTCTGTCACAACTAGAGAGTGGTCAGTACAGGGCAGGACTGGTCTGTCACAACTAGAGAGTGGTCAGTACAGGGCAGGACTGGTCTGTCACACCTAGACAGTGGTCAGTACAGGGCAGGACTGGTCTGTCACACCTAGACAGTGGTCAGTACAGGGCAGGTCCGTCCGACTAGACAGTGGTCAGTACAGGACAAGACTGATATGTCACACCTAGACAGTGGTCAGTACAGGACAGGTCTGATCTGTCACACCTAGACAGTGGTCAGTACAGGACAGGACTGGTGTGTCACACCTAGACAGTGGTCAGTACAGGACAGGACTGATATGTCACACCTAGACAGTGGTCAGTACAGGACAGGACTGGTCTCTCACACCTAGACAGTGGTCAGTACAGGACAAGACTGATATATCACACCTAGACAGTGGTCAGTACAGGACAGGACTGATATGTCACACCTAGACAGTGCTCAGTACAGGACAGGACTGATATGTCACACCTAGACAGTGGTCAGTACAGGACAGGACTGGTCTGTCACACCTAGACAGTGGTCAGTACAGGACAAGACTGATATGTCACACCTAGACAGTGGTCAGTACAGGACAGGACTGATATGTCACACCTAGACAGTGGTCAGTACAGGACAGGACTGGTCTGTCACACCTAGACAGTGGTCAGTACAGGACAGGACTGATATGTCACACCTAGACAGTGGTCAGTACAGGACAGGACTGGTCTGTCACACCTAGACAGTGGTCAGTACAGGACAAGACTGGTCTGTCACACCTAGACAGTGGTCAGTACAGGACAGGACTGATATGTCACACCTAGACAGTGGTCAGTACAGGACAGGACTGGTCTGTCACACCTAGACAGTGGTCAGTAGAGGGTAGGTCTGATCTGTCACACCTAGACAGTGGTCAGTACAGGAGAGGACTGATATGTCACACCTATACAGTGGTAAGTACAGGGCAGGACTGATAATCACACCTAGATAGTGGTCAGTACAGGGCAGGACTGGTCTGTCACACCTAGACAGTGCTCAGTACAGGACAGGACTGATATGTCACACCTAGACAGTGGTCAGTACAGGACAGGACTGGTCTGTCACACCTAGACAGTGGTAAGTACAGGACAGGACTGATATGTCACACCTAGACAGTGGTCAGTACAGGACAAGACTGGTCTGTCACACCTAGACAGTGGTCAGTACAGGACAAGACTGATATGTCACACCTAGACAGTGGTCAGTACAGGACAGGACTGGTCTGTCACACCTAGACAGTGGTCAGTAGAGGGTAGGTCTGATCTGTCACACCTAGACAGTGGTCAGTACAGGAGAGGACTGATATGTCACACCTATACAGTGGTAAGTACAGGGCAGGACTGATAATCACACCTAGATAGTGGTCAGTACAGGGCAGGACTGGTCTGTCACACCTAGACAGTGCTCAGTACAGGACAGGACTGATATGTCACACCTAGACAGTGGTCAGTACAGGACAGGACTGGTCTGTCACACCTAGACAGTGGTAAGTACAGGACAGGACTGGTCTGTCACACCTAGACAGTGGTCAGTACAGGACAGGACTGATATGTCACACCTAGACAGTGGTCAGTACAGGACAGGACTGGTCTCTCACACCTAGACAGTGGTCAGTACAGGACAGGACTTGTCTGTGAAAACTAAACAGTGGTCAGTACAGGACAGGAGCCAAACTATTGTAACACAAATATCGACCCCGATACCGTATGCGTTTAGTCATTATCACGTAAAGTAAAGTCACGTGACATTACGAAATCATACTACATACCAAGGAAGTATCAGTGAAATGGATGGCCCTTTTCAACATGCAAAGTAGTCGTTCCCGGATTTACCCGATTGTGTAAGTGTAGTTTGACTACTGAAAAACTATTATAACGAGCCTTATCAACAAATGTAATGAATTATTGAAATAATTTACGTCTTTTTGTTTAACGTGAAAGCTTTTTTGTCTTTGGAGGCGTAGGTGAAAGATAACATTGTTATTTTACTGGCATATATCTCACCTGAATTCCGTTTAAAATCGCACAGAAGTTCATGTTTTTTAAACACACCAGGAAATAACTGTTTTAACCATGAAAATGAAAGTGGCAAAATCCTTTCTATATTCAAAAGTGCTTAAAAACAGAGATGATTGTACGAATGCAGCTATATCATGAGTATGTGTTTATGAAACACTATCAAAAAGTGATGGTATCAGGTGTTCTCGAAAAGGTGAGCGGATCCTGCTGAACCGATACCACCCGTCCAGAAATCCCGCAGGAGCGTGGTCGATGACGTGGCTGGGCTGTAGGTGAGAGGATTGATGTCCTGGCGTGGCTGACGAAGGCTGTGCGATGTGGGAGTGTGGTTGATGACGTGGCTGAGCTGTAGGTGAGAGGATTGATGTCCTGGCGTGGCTGCCGAAAGTTGTGCGCTCTAGGAGCGTGGTTGATGACGTGGCTGGGCTGTGGGTGAGAGGGTTGATGGCCTGGCGTGGCTGGCGATGGCTGTGCGCTGTAAGAGCGTGGTTGATGACGTGGCTGGGCTGGAGGTGAGAGGATTGATGGCCCGGGGTGGCTGGCGATGGCTGTGCGCTGGAGAATCGTGGTTGATGACGTGGCTGGGCTGTGATGGGAATATTGGAGTGGCGATTGTGTAGGTGAAGGGAATGTTGGATTGGCGGTTGTTTAGGTGATGGTTGTGTAGTTGATGGGAATGTGGAAGTGGCTGTTATGTAGGTGAAGGGAATGTATGGGTGGCGGTTGTGTAGTTGATGGGAATGTTGGGGTGGCGGTTGTGTAGGTGACGGGAATGTTGGGGTGGCTGTTGTGTAAGTGATGGGAATGTTGGGGTGGCTGTTGTGTAAGTGGTGGGAATGTTGGGGTGGCGGTTGTGTAGGTGATGGGAATGTTGGGGTGTCGATTGTGTAGGTGATGGGAATACTGGGGTGGCTGTTGTGTAGTTGATTGGAATGATGGAGTGGCGTTGTGTCGGTGATTTGAATATTGGTCTGACGGTTGTGTAGGTGATCGGGGATGTTAGGGTGGCGGTTGTGTAGGTGATGGGAATGTTGGGGTGGCGGTTGTGTAGGTGATGGGAATGTTGGGGTTGCTGTTGTGTAGCTGATGGGAATGTGGAAGTGGCGGTTGTGTAGGTGATGGGAATATTGGGGTGGCGGTTATGTAGGTGAAGGGAATGTTGGGGTGGCGGAGCGGCGTTGTGTCAGTGATTGGAATATTGGGGTGGCTGTTGTGTAGTTGATTGGAATGTTGGAGTGGCGTTGTGTAGGTGATGGGAATGTTGGGATGGCGGTTGTGTAGATGATGGGAATGTTTGGGTGGCGGTTGTGTAGATGATGGGAATGTTGGGGTGGCGGTTGTGTAGGTGATGGGAATGTTGGGGTGGCGGTTGTGTAGGTGAATGGAATGTTGGGGTGGCGGTTGTGTAGATGATGGGAATGTTTGGGTGGCGGTTGTGTAGATGATGGGAATGTTGGGGTGGCGGTTGTGTAGGTGATGGGAATGTTGGGGTGGCGGTTGTGTAGGTGATGGGAATGTTGGGGTGGCGGAGCGGCGTTGTGTAGGTGATTGGAATGTTGAAGTGGCGGTTGTGTAGTTGATGGGGATGTTGGTGTGGCGGAGTGGCGTTGTGTAGGTGAAGGGAATGTTGGGGTGGCGTTGTGTCGGTGATTGGAATACTGGGGTGGCGGTTGTGTAGGTGATGGGAATATTGGGCTGGCGGTTGTGTAGGTGATGGGAATGTTGGGCTGGCTGTTGTGTAAATGATGGGAATGTTGGGGTGGCGGTTGTGTAGGTGATGGGAATGTTGGGGTGTCGGTTGTGTAGGTGATGGGAATGTTGGAGTGGCGGTTGTGTAGGTGATGGGAATGTTTGAGTGGCGGTTGTGTAGGTGATGGGAATGTTGGAGTGGCGTTGCGTAGGTGATGGGAATGTTGGAGTGGCGGTTGTGTAGGTGATGGGAATGTTGGAGTGGCGGTTGTGTAGTTGATGGGGATGTTGGTGTGGCGGAGTGGCGTTGTGTAGGTGAAGGGAATGTTGAAGTGGCGGTTGTGTAGTTGATGGGGATGTTGGTGTGGCGGAGTGGCGTTGTGTAGGTGATGGGAATGTTGGAGTGGCGGTTGTGTAGTTGATGGGGATGTTGGTGTGGCGGTTGTGTAGTTGATGGGGATGTTGGTGTGGCGGAGTGGCCTTGTGTAGGTGATGGGAATGTTGAAGTGGCGGTTGTGTAGTTGATGGGGATGTTGGTGTGGCGGAGTGGCGTTGTGTAGGTGAAGGGAATGTTGGGGTGGCGGTTGTGTAGGTGATAGGAATGTTGGGGTGGCGGTTGTGTAAATGATGGGAATGTTGGGGTGGCTGTTGTGTAGGTGATGGGAATACTGGGGTGGCGGTTGTGTAGGTGATGGGAATGTTGGAGTGGGGTTGTGTAGGTGATGGGAATGTTGGAGTGGGGTTGTGTAGGTGATGGGAATGTTGGGCTGGCTGTTGTGTAGGTGATGGGACTGTTGGAGTGGGGTTGTGTAAGTGATGGGAATGTTGGAGTGGCGGTTGTGTAGGTGATTGGAATGTTGGAGTGGCGGTTGTGTAGGTGATTGGAATGTTGGAGTGGGGTTGTGTAGGTGATGGGAATGTTGGAGTGGCGGTTGTGTAGGTGATTGGAATGTTGGAGTGGGGTTGTGTAGGTGATGGGAATGTTGGAGTGGGGTTGTGTAGGTGATAGGAATGTTGGAGTGGGGTTGTGTAGGTGATGGGAATGTTGGAGTGGGGTTGTGTAGGTGATGGGAATGTTGGAGTGGCGGTTATGTAGGTGATGGGAATGTTGGGCTGGCGGTTTTGTAGGTGATGGGAATGTTGGGCTGGCGGTTGTGTAGGTGATGGGAATGTTGGAGTGGCGGTTATGTAGGTGATGGGAATGTTGGGGTCGCGGTTGTGTAGGTGATGGGAATGTTGGGCTGGCGGTTGTGTAGGTGATGGGAATGTTGGGGTGGCGGTTGTGTAGGTGATGGGAATGTTGGGCTGGCGGTTGTGTAGGTGATGGGAATGTTGGGGTCGCGGTTGTGTAGGTGATGGGAATATTGGGCTGGCGGTTGTGTAGGTGATGGGAATGTTGGGGTGGCGGTTGTGTAGGTGATGGGAATGTTGGGCTGGCGGTTGTGTAGGTGATGGGAATGTTGGGGTGGCGGTTGTGTAGGTGATGGGAATATTGGGCTGGCGGTTGTGTAGGTGATGGGAATGTTGGAGTGGCGGTTGTGTAGGTGATGGGAATGTGGAAGTGGCGGTTGTGTAGGTGATGGGAATGTTGGGGTGGCGGTTGTGTAGGTGATGGGAATGTGGAAGTGGCGGTTGTGTAGGTGATGGGAATGTTGGGGTGGCGGTTGTGTAGGTGATGGGAATGTTGGGGTGGCGGTTGTGTAGGTGATGGGAGTGTTGGAGTGGGGTTGTGTAGGTGATGGGAATGTTGGAGTGGCGGTTGTGTAGGTGATGGGAGTGTTGGAGTGGGGTTATGTAGGTGAAAGGAATGTTGGGGTGGCGGAGTGGCGTTGTGTCGGTGATTGGAATACTGGGCTGGCGGTTGTGAAGGTGATGGGAATGTTGGGATGGCGGTTATGTAGGTGAAGGGAATGTTGGGATGGCGGTTATGTAGGTGATGGGAATGTTGAAGTGGCGGTTGTGTAGGTGATGGGAGAGTTGGAGTGGCGGAGTGGCGTTGTGTAGGTGATGGGAATGTTGGAGTGGCGGTTGTGTAGGTGATGGGAATACTGGGATGGCGGTTATGTAGGTGATGGGAATGTTGAAGTGGCGGTTGTGTAGTTGATGGGGATGTTGGTGTGGCGGAGTGGCGTTGTGTAGTTGATGGGAATGTTGGGGTGGCGGTTGTGTAGGTGATGGGAATGTTGGGGTGGCGGTTGTAAGTGATGGGAATGTTGGGGTGGCTGTTGTGTAGGTGATGGGAATGTTGGGGTGGCTGTTGTGTAGGTGAAGGGAATGTTGGAGGGGCGGTTGTGTAAGTGATGGGAATGTTGGGGTGGCTGTTGTGGAAGTGATGGGAATGTTGGAGGGGCTGTTGTGTAGGTGATGGGAATGTTGGAGGGGCTGTTGTGTAAGTGATGGGAATGTTGGAGGGGCTGTTGTGTAGGTGATGGGAATGTTGGAGGGGCGGTTGTGTAAGTGATGGGAATGTTGGAGGGGCGGTTGTGTAGGTGATGGGAATGTTGGGCTGGCGGTTGTGTAGGTGATGGGAATGTTGGAGTGGCGGTTGTGTAGGTGATGGGAGAGTTGGAGTGGGGTTGTGTAGTTGATGGGAATGTTGGGGTGGCGGTTGTGTAGGTGATGGGAATGTTGGAGTGGGGTTGTGTAGTTGATGGGAATGTTGGGGTCGCGGTTGTGTAGGTGATGGGAATGTTGGAGTGGCGGTTGTGTAGGTGATGGGAATGTTGGGGTGGCGGTTGTGTAGGTGATGGGAATGTTGGGGTGGCTGTTGTGTAAGTGATGGGAATGTTGGGGTGGCTGTTTTGTTGGTGATGGGAATGTTGGGGTGGCGGTTGTGTAAGTGATGGGAATGTTGGGGTGGCTGTTGTGTAGGTGATGGGACTGTTGGAGGGGCTGTTGTGTAAGTGATGGGAATGTTGGGGTGGCGGTTGTGTAAGTGATGGGAATGTTGGGGTGGCGGTTGTGTAAGTGATGGGAATGTTGGGGTGGCGGTTGTGTAAGTGATGGGAATGTTGGGGTGGCGGTTGTGTAAGTGATGGGAATGTTGGAGGGGCTGTTGTGTAAGTGATGGGAATGTTGGGGTGGCGGTTGTGTAGTTGATGGGAATACTGGGGTGGCGGTTGTGTAGGTGATGGGAATGTTGGGGTGGCTGTTGTGTAAGTGATGGGAATGTTGGAGGGGCTGTTGTGTAAGTGATGGGAATGTTGGGGTGGCGGTTGTGTAGGTAATGGGAATGTTGGGGTGGCTGTTGTGTTGGTGATGGGAATGTGGAAGTGGCTGTTGTGTAGGTGATAGGAATGTTGGGGTGGCGGTGGTGTAGTTGATGGGAATGTTGGAGCGGTGGTTGCTTAGTTGATGGGAATTTTGGGCTGGCCGTTGTGTAGGTGATTGGAATATGTGGGTGATGGTTATGTTGCTGATGGAATGTTGAGTTCATGGTGGTATAGGAGACTGGAATATTGAGATTATGGTTGTGTAGGTGATAGGAATATTGGGTTGATGTAGGTGCAGGTGATGGAAATGTTGGTTCTGTGCATTGACGCCCGAAAGCTTTACCAACTAGGCCACCCTACCACCCCTGATCGTATTGTGAAAGAGGTTTCAATAAGTGCGTCCAATATTTATTTAAATTTGATACATAGTTGGGGGTGGCCGTTTCATTACTGACTACGTTGTGAATATGTTCATGGGTTAGAAGTACTGCATGTTTAACACAGGTTGGGTATGTGGATGTGTATAGTATAGGCATTTCAAACAATAACTTGTCTTCGAAGTGTCATTAAACCATTATTTAATGTTTTATTATTTTAATTTTTTTTCTGTTGCATTTTACACGGTTTGCACAGTATAAAATAAGAATAAAATACTTAATGTTAAAACATAGCTTTCATCAGATATTCTGATAGATATACCGTAGAAAAACTGCATGTATTTGACTGTGTTTACATTGTCATGTTATTCGTGTGCTGACGGTATGTAAACAATACAGGAAGTGTGTTTCCTCCACATATTTTGTACAATATATCTGTGAACAAGACTCTGAGTGGGCAGTGTGTATTTTATGTCATAAAAATAAGGAACTTATCCTTTTTTCACTTTTAAGCCTTGATTATTTTTATCTGAAAACATGATGAGAAATATAAAACATGGTATATTGTCACATTTTGGGTTCGCCTCGATTATCGAAAAACCATCCGGAAAGCAGACTATAAGACATTGAGTCCTCACTTACGGTAATGCATCGTGCCTGACAACTCCAGCAGCAACACATCACTAGAATGAGTTGCCCAGCCACAAATATTTCACTCTGTCGTCTTCCTTGGTTGTTTCTACCCACTCAGTACACCGCCAACAATGTTCTGTTCATTGCTATGCTACACATGGGCGGTGGGTGAGAGGGTTGATGGCCTGGCGTGGCTGGCGATGGCTGTGCGCTGTAAGAGCGTGGTTGATGACGTGGCTGGGCTGTGGGTGAGAGGGTTGATGGCCTGGCGTGGCTGGCGATGGCTGTGCGCTGTAAGAGCGTGGTTGATGACGTGGCTGGGCTGTGGGTGAGAGGGTTGATGGCCTGGCGTGGCTGGCGATGGCTGTGCGCTGTAAGAGCGTGGTTGATGACGTGGCTGGGCTGTGGGTGAGAGGGTTGATGGCCTGGCGTGGCTGGCGATGGCTGTGCGCTGTAAGAGCGTGGTTGATGACGTGGCTGGGCTGTGGGTGACAGAGTTGATGGCCTGGCGTGGCTGGCGATGGCTGTGCGCTGTAAGAGCGTGGTTGATGACGTGGCTGGGCTGTGGGTGAGAGGGTTGATGGCCTGGCGTGGCTGGCGATGGCTGTGCGCTGTAAGAGCGTGGTTGATGACGTGGCTGGGCTGGAGGTGAGAGGATTGATGGCCTGGCGTGGCTGGCGATGGCTGTGCGCTGTAAGAGCGTGGTTGATGACGTTGCTGGGCTGTGGGTGAGAGGGTTGATGGCCTGGCGTGGCTGGCGATGGCTGTGCGCTGTAAGAGCGTGGTTGATGACGTGGCTGGGCTGGAGGTGAGAGGATTGATGTCCTGGCGTGGCTGGCGATGGCTGTGCGATGTGGGAGCGTGGTTGATGACGTGGCTGGGCTGTGGGTGAGAGGATTGGTGTCCTGGCGTGGCTGACGAAGGTTGTGCGATGTGGGAGTGTGGTTGATGTCTTCACTGGACTGTGGGTGAGAGGATTGAATGTTCTGTTCATTGCCATGCTACACATGGTCCTTACTTTACAACCACTCGAATGTTCTGTTCATTGCCATGCTACACATAGTCCTTCCTTTACAGCCGCTCGAATGTTCTGTTCATTGCCATGCTGCACATAGTCCTTCCTTTACAACCGCTCGAATGTTCTGTTCATTGCCATGCTACACCTGGTCTTTCCTTTATAACCACTGGAATGTTCTGTTCATTGTCATGCTGCACCTAGTCCTTCCTTTAAAGCCACTAGTATGTTCTGTTCATTGCCATGCTACACATAGTCCTTTCTTTACAACCACTCGAATGTTCTGTTCATTGCCATGCTACACATAGTCCTTTCTTTACAACCACTCGAATGATCTGTTCATTGCCATGCTACACCTAGACATTCCCTTACAACCGCTCGAATGTTTTGTTCATTGCCATGCTACACCTGGTCCTTCCTTTACAACCACTCGAATGTTCTGTTCATTGCTATGCTACACATGGGCGGTGGGTGAGAGGGTTGATGGCCTGGCGTGGCTGGCGATGGCTGTGCGCTGTAAGAGCGTGGTTGATGACGTGGCTGGGCTGTTGGTGAGAGGGTTGATGGCCTGGCGTGGCTGGCGATGGCTGTGCGCTGTAAGAGCGTGGTTGATGACGTGGCTGGGCTGTGGGTGAGAGGGTTGATGGCCTGGCGTGGCTGGCGATGGCTGTGCGCGGTAAGAGCGTGGTTGATGACGTGGCTGGGCTGGAGGTGAGAGGATTGATGGCCTGGCGTGGCTGGCGATGGCTGTGCGCTGTAAGAGCGTGGTTGATGACGTTGCTGGGCTGTGGGTGAGAGGGTTGATGGCCTGGCGTGGCTGGCGATGGCTGTGCGCTGTAAGAGCGTGGTTGATGACGTGGCTGGGCTGTGGGTGAGAGGGTTGATGGCCTGGCGTGGCTGGCGATGGCTGTGCGCTGTAAGAGCGTGGTTGATGACGTGGCTGGGCTGGAGGTGAGAGGATTGATGGCCTGGCGTGGCTGGCGATGGCTGTGCGCTGTAAGAGCGTGGTTGATGACGTTGCTGGGCTGTGGGTGAGAGGGTTGATGGCCTGGCGTGGCTGGCGATGGCTGTGCGCTGTAAGAGCGTGGTTGATGACGTGGCTGGGCTGGAGGTGAGAGGATTGATGTCCTGGCGTGGCTGGCGATGGCTGTGCGATGTGGGAGCGTGGTTGATGACGTGGCTGGGCTGTGGGTGAGAGGATTGGTGTCCTGGCGTGGCTGACGAAGGTTGTGCGATGTGGGAGTGTGGTTGATGTCTTCACTGGACTGTGGGTGAGAGGATTGAATGTTCTGTTCATTGCCATGCTACACATGGTCCTTACTTTACAACCACTCGAATGTTCTGTTCATTGCCATGCTACACATAGTCCTTCCTTTACAGCCGCTCGAATGTTCTGTTCATTGCCATGCTGCACATAGTCCTTCCTTTACAACCGCTCGAATGTTCTGTTCATTGCCATGCTACACCTGGTCTTTCCTTTATAACCACTGGAATGTTCTGTTCATTGTCATGCTGCACCTAGTCCTTCCTTTAAAGCCACTAGTATGTTCTGTTCATTGCCATGCTACACATAGTCCTTTCTTTACAACCACTCGAATGTTCTGTTCATTGCCATGCTACACATAGTCCTTTCTTTACAACCACTCGAATGATCTGTTCATTGCCATGCTACACCTAGACATTCCCTTACAACCGCTCGAATGTTTTGTTCATTGCCATGCTACACCTGGTCCTTCCTTTACAACCACTCGAATGTTCTGTTCATTGCTATGCTACACATGGGCGGTGGGTGAGAGGGTTGATGGCCTGGCGTGGCTGGCGATGGCTGTGCGCTGTAAGAGCGTGGTTGATGACGTGGCTGGGCTGTTGGTGAGAGGGTTGATGGCCTGGCGTGGCTGGCGATGGCTGTGCGCTGTAAGAGCGTGGTTGATGACGTGGCTGGGCTGTGGGTGAGAGGGTTGATGGCCTGGCGTGGCTGGCGATGGCTGTGCGCGGTAAGAGCGTGGTTGATGACGTGGCTGGGCTGGAGGTGAGAGGATTGATGGCCTGGCGTGGCTGGCGATGGCTGTGCGCTGTAAGAGCGTGGTTGATGACGTTGCTGGGCTGTGGGTGAGAGGGTTGATGGCCTGGCGTGGCTGGCGATGGCTGTGCGCTGTAAGAGCGTGGTTGATGACGTGGCTGGGCTGGAGGTGAGAGGATTGATGTCCTGGCGTGGCTGGCGATGGCTGTGCGCTGTAAGAGCGTGGTTGATGACGTGGCTGGGCTGTGGGTGAGAGGATTGGTGTCCTGGCGTGGCTAACGAAGGTTGTGCGATGTGGGAGTGTGGTTGGTGTCTTCACTGGACTGTGGGTGAGAGGATTGAATGTTCTGTTCATTGCCATGCTACACATGGTCCTTACTTTACAACCACTCGAATGTTCTGTTCATTGCCATGCTGCACATAGTCCTTCCTTTACAACCGCTCGAATGTTCTGTTCATTGCCATGCTACACCTAGTCTTTCCTTTATAACCACTGGAATGTTCTGTTCATTGTCATGCTGCACCTAGTCCTTCCTTTAAAGCCACTAGTATGTTCTGTTCATTGCCATGCTACACCAAGTCCTTCCTTTACAACCACTCGAATGTTCTGTTCATTGCCATGCTACACATAGTCCTTTCTTTACAACCACTCGAATGATCTGTTAATTGCCATGCTACACCTAGACATTCCCTTACAACCGCTCGAATGTTTTGTTCATTGCCATGCTACACCTGGTCCTTCCTTTACAACCACTCGAATGTTCTGTTCATTCATTGCCATGCTACACATAGTCCTTCCTTTACAGCCGCTCGAATGTTCTGTTCATTGCCATGCTGCACCTTGTCCTTCCTTTACAGCCACTCGAATGTTCTGTTCATTGTCATGCTGCATCTAGTCCTTCCTTTATAACCACTCGTATGTTCTGTTCATCGCCATGCTACACCTAGTCCTTCCTTTACAACCACTCAAATGTTCTGTTCATTGCCATGCTGCACCTAGTCCTTCCTTTACAACCACTCGAATGTTCTGTTCATTGCCATGCTACACATAGTCCTTTCTTTACATCCACTCAAATGTTCTGTTCATTGCCATGCTACACCAAGTCCTTCCTTTACAACCACTCGAATGTTCTGTTCGTTGCTATGCTACACCTAGTCATTCCTTTAGAACCACTCGAATGTTCTGTTCATTGCCATGCTACACCTAGTCCTTCCTTTACAACCTCTCAAATGTTCTGTTCATTGCCATGCTGCACCTAGTGCTTCCTTAACAGCCACTCGAATTTTCTGTTCATTGCCATGCTACACCTAGTCCTTCCTTTACAACCACTCAAATGTTCTGTTCATTGCCATGCTGCACATAGTCCTTCCTTTACAACCACTCGAATGTTCTGTTCATTACCATGCTACACCTAGTCCTTCCTTTACAACAAATCGAATGTTCTGTTCATTGTAATGCTACACGTAGTCATTCCTTTACAACCACTCGAATGTTCTGTTCATTGCCATGCTACACCTAGTCCTTCCTTTAAAACCACTCAGATGTTCTGTTCATTGCCATGCTGCACATAGTCCTTCCTTTACAACCACTCGAATGTTCTGTTCATTGTCATGCTGCACCTAGTCATTCCTTTACAACCACTCGAATGTTCTGTTCATTGCTATGCTACACGTAGTCATTCCTTTACAACCACTCGAATGTTCTGTTCATTGCCATGCTACACATAGTCCTTCCTTTACAACCACTCGAATGTTCTGTTCATTGCCATGCTACACATAGTCCTTCCTTTACAACCACTCGAATGTTCTGTTCATTGCCATGCTACAGCTAGTCATTCCTTTACAACCACTCAAATGTTCTGTTCATTGCCATGCTGCATCTAGTCCTTCCTTTATAACCACTCGAATGTTCTGTTCATTGCCATGCTACACCTAGTCCTTCCTTTACAGCATCTCGAATGTTCTGTTCATTGCCATTCTACACCTAGTCCTTCGTTTACAACCACTTGAATGTTCTGTTCATTGCCATGCTGCACCTAGTCCTTCCTTTACAACCACTCGAATGTTCTGTTCGTTGCTATGATACACTTAGTCATTCCTTTAGAACAACTCGAATGTTCTGTTCATTGCCATGATACAGCTAGTCCTTCCTTTACAACCTCTCAAATGTTCTGTTCATTGCCATGCTGCACCTAGTGCTTCCTTAAAAGCCACTCGAATTTTCTGTTCGTTGCCATGCTACACCTAGTCCTTCCTTTAAAACCACTCGAATGTTCTGTTCATTTCCATGCTACACCTAGTCATTCCTTTACAACCACTCGAATGTTCTGTTCATTGCCATGCGACACCTAGTCCTCACTTTAAAACCACTCGAATTTTCTTTTCATTGCCATGCTACACCTAGTCCTTCCTTTAAAACCACTCGAATGTTCTGTTCATTGCCATGCTGCACATAGTCCTTCCTTTACAACCACTCGAATGTTCTGTTCATTGACATGCTACACCTAGTCCTTCCTTTACAACCACTCGAATGTTCTGTTCATTGACATGCTACACCTAGTCCTTCCTTTAAAACCACTCGAGTTTTCGGTTGATTGTCTTGCTACACCTAGTCATTCCTTTACAACCACTCGAATGTTCTGTTCACTGCCATTCTACACCTAGTCATTCCTTTACAACCACTCGAATGTTCTGTTGATTGCCATTCTACACCTAGTCCTTCCTTTAAAACCACTCGAATGTTCTGTTCATTGCCATGCTACACCTAGTCCTTCCTTTACAACCACTCGAATGTTTTGTTCATTGCCATGCTACACCTAGTCCTTCCTTTACAGCCACTCGAATGTTCTGTTCGTTGCCATGCTACACCTAGTCCTTCCTTTACAACCAATCGAATGTTCTGTCCATTGCCATGCTACACCTTGTCCTTCCTTTACAACAACTCGAATGTTCTGTTCATTCTCTCGCTACACCTAATCCTTCTTTTAAAACCACTCGAATGTTCTGTTCATTGCCATGCTACACCTAGTCCTTCTTTTAAAACCACTCGAGTTTTCTGTTGATTGTCTTGCTACACCTAGTCCTTCCTTTAAAACCACTCGAATGTTCTGTTCATTGCCATGCTACACCTTGTCCTTCCTTTACAACCACTCGAATGTTCTGTTCATAGCCATGCTACACCTAGTCCTTCCTTTAAAACCACTCGAATGTTATGTTCATTGCCATGCTACACCTAGTCCTTCTTTTACAGCCACTCGAATGTTCTGTTGATTGCCATGCTACACCTAGTCCTTCCTTTACAATCACTCGAATGTTCTGTTCATTGCAATGCTACACATTGTCCTTCCTTAACAAGCACTCGAATGTTCTTTTCATTGCCATGCTGCACCTAGTTCTTTCTTTACAACCACTCGAATGTTCTGTTCATTGCTATGCTACACCTAGTCCTTTCTTTACAGCCACACGAATGTTCTGTTCATTGACATGCTACACCTAGTCCTTCCTTTACAGCCACTCGAATGTTCTGTTGATTGCCATGCTACACCTAGTCCTTCCTTTACAATCACTCGAATGTTCTGTTCATTGCAATGCTACACATTGTCCTTCCTTAACAAGCACTCGAATGTTCTTTTCATTGCCATGCTGCACCTAGTTCTTTCTTTACAACCACTCGAATGTTCTGTTCATTGCTATGCTACACCTAGTCCTTCCTTTACAGCCACACGAATGTTCTGTTCATTGACATGCTACACCTAGTCCTTCCTTTACAGCCACTCGAATGTTCTGTTGATTGCCATGCTACACCTAGTCCTTCCTTTACAATCACTCGAATGTTCTGTTCATTGCAATGCTGCACCTAGTCCTTCCTTTACAGCCACTCGAGTGTTCTGTTCATTGCCATTCTACACCTAGTCCTTCCTTTACCACCACTCGATACCCTTTGTATTTCAGGAATCATTTTTCTCTGCTTTTGTGGGGCGTACTTCTCAGAACAAATACACCTAATTAAGACATACACCAACAGCCGTGTCACAAACGTGTCATTCCTTGGCAGTAGCTGCGCAAGCAGGTTAATGTTGAATAGGATTGCAGATAGGGATTATTCTCCTTTGTTTGTTTGTTTGTTTTACGCCACACTCAACAATATTCCAGCTACATGTCATATCACGGCGGTTTGTAAATAATCGAGTATAGACCAGACAATCCAGTGATTAATATCATGAGCATCGATACCCGCAATTGAGATCGATGACATGCATCAACCAAGTCAGCGAGCTTGACCACCCGCCCCCTTTAGTCGCCTCTTACGGCAAGCATGGGTTGCTGAAGACCTGTTGTAACCTTCATCTTCCCGGGTTGGACTGTCCTCCTGGGTCCTACAGTTTGCCAAACGCCTCTTACTACTATCATTGACAAGATTACACAAACGTTATGAAAATGTAATTTATTGGTCTGGAAGGAATTTTTAATTTATTTAAAATAAATTTGACATTAATTTTAAAATATGTTTGTAAGTGATTGGACACGGGATTGGGATACGATGACATGCACCAACCAAGTCAGCATAGTCACCTTTAACGGCAAGCATAGTTTGCTGAAGACCTTTTCTACCCCGATCTTCATGTGTCTGAAAATGTATAATATAGTACACCTTTATTACGACTTGGTGTAATACGGTTCATAAATATCTTCTTGGAATTAATTGTGTTCATTTATTTGCGAAGTATATGTCCTTTTTAATATTTCAATTTCTGATAAACTGTTATTTTTTTGATGGATGTTAAGCCTGATGACGTTAAACACACACACCTTCCTTTTGGAACATCAACTTTTTAACACGAACAGCTAAACGGCGAAAGATAGCAGAACAGATAATTCATTGTGCCTTTAGTTACAATTACAATAAATAAATTAAGAAACGAGGCCTAGTTAGAAAACCACACTTGGCATGCCAGCAGAAAATGTTTTTTAATGAGGACGGGTTAGACCAGTTGTTCTTGCCAGGTCCCCACCCCTCCTCCAGTTGCTAGATCCACTGTCCCCACCCCCCACCCCTCCTCCAGTTGCTAGATCCACTGTCCCCACCCCCCACCCCTCCTCCAGCTGCTAGATCCACTGTCCCCACCCCCACCCCTCCTCCAGTTGCTACATCCACTGTCCCCACCCCCACCACCCCTCCAGTTGCTACATCCACTGTCCCCACCCCCCACCCCTCCTCCAGCTGCTAGATCCACTGTCCCCACCCCCACCCCTCCTCCAGTTGCTACATCCACTGTCCCCACCCCCACCACCCCTCCAGTTGCTACATCCACTGTCCCCACCCCCCACCCCTCCTCCAGTTGCTAGATCCACTGTCCCCACCCCCCACCCTCCTCCAGATGTTCGATCCACTGTCCCCACCCTCCTCCAGATGCTACATCTACTGTCCCCACCCTCCTCCAGATGTTACATCTACTGTCCCCACCCTCCTCCAGATGCTCCATCTACTGTCCCCGGCCTCCTCCAGATGCTCCATCTACTGTCCCCACCCTCCTCCAGATGCTCCATCTACTGTCCCAACCCTCCTCCAGATGCTCAATCTGCTGTCCCCACCCTCCTCCAGATGTTACATCTACTGTATCCACCCTCCTCCAGATGTTACATTTACTGTCCCCACCCTCCTCCAGAGGCTCCATCTACTGTCCCCACCCTCCTCCAGATGCTCCATCTACTGTCCCCACCCCTCCTCCAGAGGCTCCATCTTCTGTCCCCACCAATCCTCCAGAGGCTCCATCTACTGTCCCCACCCCTCCTCCAGAGGCTCCATCTACTGTCCCCACCCCTCCTCCAGAGGCTCCATCTACTGTCCCCACCCCTCCTCCAGATGCTCCATCCACTCCCCAGCCCTCCTCCAGATGTTATATCTACTGTCCCCACGAGAAATAAACCAACAACTTCTTTACCCAGTTTTAAGCCACTTGACGCTACAAGATCCAGTGCCAGCATACGCTGTGTAAGTCCTTGTTGTATTGATCTCCTCAAGCCAGCAACATATAGCATCACGTGACGTCCCACGCTGGTTATAAGCAGGCCCCAACCTACCTGGTGGTACTTTGGGAACATTCGTGTGGATAGTCGCGTCATCGTCATCTCCTTAGTGACAGCCTGTAGAACCGGGAGTAGTCGTGAATCCTGTGATCATCTGTGAACACTTTAAGATGACGCCGACATGGTCAAGCGATGCTGGAAACTTATGCCTGGCATTTTACTTCATGTCAATATTTTCCACATGCAGCACAGAACAATGTGAACTTCCGAAGGTGGACAACTTTCCGCCTTGTTCTGTCATCATCAGGAACATCGGCATCAAATTGTGCCAAGTCAGATGTCATGAAAAGGGCGGATGTTTGAGTTTCGAATACAATTATGAAACTTTAACCTGTCGACTATCAAGTGATGAAGCAGATAAAATTATGAAGAGGGAAGGATACATCGTACAGTTTAAGGATCACTCTTATGTAAGTAAAATATACAGGCTGCTCAATCAAATCTAAATTCATAAGTTTCATGGTGTCTTCTCAATTATCATAGAACGCCATGATTACTCATCCGGTCCAGGTTCAGAGTTTACGTTATTACATCAGGGTACCGTTCAACAAAGCGATCTGAGCGCAACGACTATCGTAAGCCAGTGTTAAAGTTTGGGAGTTACGATCACCTTAGCGCTAAGATGGCTTTGTGGAACGGGGCTCAGATCATTTTTTCTCACAATCCTGTTATATAAACCGCCTCCACATAATAAAGGCAATAAATACATTTGGTCCCCTTCCTTTGTGTTTAAAGGTCCAGACAAGGCCTTGTGCATCCAAGACCTGCAGCCTGAATTCCCGATGTTTGGTGACGAGATCTGGGAAAGCTGTTTGTGCAGACGATGAGCGCCCAGAGAAATGTGCAATATTGAGCTTTCAACTAATGTTTTTAACTGCTTACGAGATTTTTTTTTATCAATACACATTTATCTGTATTTATATTTCTTATTTTTCAAACACACTGTAAAATATGCTTATGTCTAAAAGTTGATTTCATCCTAAATCAATCGTATGTCTACAAATAATTTCACTGCCCTATGTATTTATTGTTGAAAGACTACCAGAAAAGCCTCATTTTCTTGCTAATCTCGTAGAACAATACTTTTCTAAAGAAATATTTTGGAATGGCCATGCTGTGTCTACTGCTTTGTTTCCTCTAAGATAAATTAATAACATAACCACGAGAGGGATTGTGAATAAGTCCGGGATCTATCTCGATCTACATATTTTGTTAAGTTGTAAGCTGTTGATTGCAATTGCATACACTATTATTGTTTAAGGTGACAGTACTCTATCAGACCAACACGTTCTATCTACACAGAAACCTATGTAGTAGGTACTGATTATGAAGTGTAAAACGTCAACGCAAGAACACAATACGTCTCAATTATCAGATAAACAGATTCCATTGGGGGCAAAAGGTATACACCCCATACGGAAGACGTGAAAATTAACACACTGATGCCTGCTTGCATGTCAGTGACAGCTCATAGCGAAGGGCAAGGTCACCATCGGAATAAGAAAAGACAACCGTGATCTACTCACAGCGATTTACGCTAGAGATGGGGAACGTTATAGACCTCCCTTAATATTTATGCATGACCCCAAGGTCAAATTCCAAAACGAGGCTTTTGCCGAATGGTGGCAAAGCTAACACCCGGAAGTGATTTACCGCTCGTCTCGCATGTCTCGGTCAGCTTGGTCGACAATTTTGTTCAAATCCAATCTAAGAGCGCGGGGAGCTCCAAGTTGAACAAGGGATTCCAGTGTAACAGCGATGGGTTCATCAACAGTAGCAAAAGTAGGTATATTGTGATTTTACACTAAATAACAATGACCACTTTGACAGATCACCTTTATGTCATTTATGCTGTTGTTGTGGACTGATTTCCATTGACGTAACATGATTTGGCTAAGACAGACATAATGACTCATAATCAGCCCTTTAAATGTGTACAAGCCCTTTATTTTATTTACTTATATATATATATCTATCTGTGTGTGTGTGTGTGTGTGTGTGTGTGTGTGTGTGTGTGTGTGTGTGTAAGTATGTGTGTGTGTGTGTGTGTGTGTGTGTGTGTGTGTGTGTGTGTGTGTGTGACGTATATTGCAACCGTCAAGAATGCAATTTTTTGGCTTTTTCTATAAAACGAATTTTGTGTAAACCATAATCATTCACAAATCTTTCATGAATTATATAAAAGATATTTAAAAAAAGTCAAAGTGACACGGCACAATGTTTTAAGTGTTAAATGATAGGAGAATTGCATTCATACAATTGACATCTGTATGTATTTCTTCACAGCTTCAATGTATTTACAGATTTTTCTGACAAAAGATTCTAAAGTGAGGGTTTCTGCAACAAGCTGTCCATGTGCCATCAGACAGAGACAGTGTTTGAAGTGTTTAATAGTAGAACACTTATTAAATTGCATTCATATAATTGACATTTGTATGTATTTCTTCACAACTTCAATGTATTTTCAGATGTTTCTGAAGTGAGGGTTTCTGCAACAAACTGTTCATGTGCCATCAGGTAGATCGAGCCAGTGCTGTGGACATCAGTTTGAATACAATTATGTATGTACATTGTGTAATAAAATATTTGAGTCTCAAACGATTTGACACTTTTATCTATCACAGGCAATTTTAGCACAATTCTATATGAGTGCGCAAGGGAAACCAAAATTCATCAACTGTCCAACCTATCAAAGTAATTTATCCCGCAATGAGTGTATGTTTTAATCTTTTTTTTGGACGGAACCTTTTTCAATGGTAGATCTAATAGTGGTCTTCTTTTTATTGATCAGAAGGCAACATTACAAAATCGTTTAGGATCCCGAGCAGCAGGAAGGAAGAGCAGCTTGCGGATGCCAGGTATGTAGCAGGGCTTCGAGACATAATGTTCCATGATTTTTATACAGAGATCTTATGGAATGGATTGATTTAGATATTTTCCTGATCTCTATGTTACTACTGTAAACGTCAAGGGTCTTTTAGTTTTGTTGTTTTCGGAAACCTTTTTGATATTATTATGATCAAGTGTTTGTTGTGACATGGGATTTGGGCTTGCATAAGAGCTACAGGTGTAGGACTTTTAAGGGTCGTGTCCTTATTATCAACATAACGCTGGGATTTGATGATAAGGGACAGTTACCAAGGGTATAAATCTGGAAAAGTGCATGTCATACAAAACGTGGCATTCAATTCAAATCATGTGTTGCCACCTGAACCACCTGAAAGTGAGATATGGATTACAATGAATAATGGCAGCTTATCAATCTTTAACAAATTCACACTGAAACTTTGAAAGGATTACGACAAGTTAGTTGTTTTCTGTTTCAGCATGTTCAGGGTTTGTGGGGAGGTTCACAGACATCCTCAGGGAGGATACGAAGTATTGAGTGAGTATTTTTGTGTGTGATAATTACAAACTACATGTATTCATCGTGGTATATTTCAATGCATTGTGAAACATCACACTCACAATAGTCCAACTCTGTGATGGCGGCCTGTAAATAATTGAACATGGACCAGGCAATCTAGTGATTGTTATTATCAGCAAAGATCCATGCCCTCAGAGTATGATGACAACCTAGTCTGACCACCCAACTCATTAGTTGATTAGTGTTTGGATGTTGTTTTGTCGTTGTGTTTGTGTGTGTATGTACGAGTGTATTTAACTTAACTCATGAATCTTATACTTGTTTCTGTGCTTTTACAATGTAACCCAAATTTCCTTGGGAATCATAAAGTATTATCTTATTCATATCATTTCTGAACAAAGTGTCATTTCAAGGTTAGATCTCTGTCAAAACAATGTAATGGAAAAGCCAAACAAAAAGCATAGAAATAAAAGTAAATACTGCATTGCATTAATCTGCATTTCAAGAAAATTTAGCAATAATTCATGGAATGATATTGACCTCGGTGAGGATCTTTCTGCATTGTCGAACAAGTTATTCCCTATGTAATGTATGTGTTGAATGACCCTGACTATTGTTTTGACATTTGTTAAATATGGGGATAAATGTCATCTCTGAATGTTTGACATGAATTATTATAATTAGGGCAGTTCTTAGTCGGAATCACAACTGGGGTCTTTTCATTTGAATCAAATGTACAACATGTACAGTTTGGACATTTCTGTGATGTGAATGCTATTTATGTTTGTAGAATGTCCGGATGAATAAAAGAGACAGTCATCTGTGCAGCATGAATGCAAAGAAAGACCATAGAAGAGCAACAGTGAGTGATAAATATTGGTACTGGGACACACAAAGGCTGGTCTGGCTAATGTGACAAGACCAACCAATGCCAAGCTGGAGTGGAATCCTTCCAGGACATTCAAGAAATTCTTGTCTTGTGGTAAACACTTGAAAGGAATGATAAATTGGACTGATTGTCTTTAAATGTGGACCCCAACACCAAATGGAAAGTTCACAATTCTACTTACACAATGCAGCAGGGATAGAGTCCAACTGGTATCCCTTCATCCTGGTTCCTGTTCATCCATGGCAATATAGAAAGAAAAGGAGGATTGAGGGAAAGTTAGTTCTCTGAACTGGTGAACATAATCCATAGGTACTGTCAAGCGAACAGTTATCGCACTCTGTTATGGGTATTGATGAATAGGATGAAATTGCATACTGCATCAGGAACCATCATGTGAACACTGTTCAATTTGCGATATACATGTACTATAGGCATATGAATAAAAGAAAGTGATAATTTGATTGTTGCTTATGTTTCATTTGCCAGCTGTGTAAATGGGGATATTTCATGATTTTGCCTCAGTTTAATAGTCACACTTATCTTATGAAACCATGCATTGCTTGGGCATCTCAGGAATAAATAACACGTGTTTCCTTAGCTTTGAGAACGTCTGATGACACATTGATCTGTTATGTCAAAGGTCAAAGTCACAACCAGACAAAAAGTTTGTTTGTGGTCTAACTCTTCCTTTGGGCAGGGGTCGAAGTTGGAAAAAGGTCGTGCGTGACCTATATATACTACATTTTCCCCTAAAATGCCTTTTCTGCAGAAGTCTTAGTAACTCTTATACATACACTGGTTATATTATGTTCATATTATTGACAATGTTATGTTGAATTCTACCAAAGGACTGCATATTTGGTTTATGTGCTGGATAGTTCTTTGAAATGTTTTTGAAATATTTATCACTGATATTGTAGGTCAAATTCACACTCAAAAGTGATAACTCATGAAGGGTTGAAGTGTAAGACCAAGGCAATAGTGAAGGGGTCATTCATAAAGTATTTCTGCAATTATGACTAAAATGCCTATTTCTGGAGATATTTGTGAAGTATTAAGCACATAGTTGTTATATTATTTGAATACACATATATGAGCAGTGGTTACAACTCCAGTGTCAAATTAACTCTCAAGCTCTTTTAATAAAAGAATTCACAGTAACTGAGGAAGAGCTCACTGTAGTACCATAAAACTAGGGTGAGGCAAATTTCAATGAAGTTAGTATTTTGGATATAACAAGTACATGTACCGTTACAAATAGTCTTATTTTCATCTCACTAGGACCAAAGGCCAAAGTGAGCACATTGTCAATGAATTTTTCTTTTTCTCAGTACAAACTGGAAGTCTTGACATGAAATCTAAGGATATCATAATACGAGAACTGATGTTTGTTCATTAAATACCATTAACATCTGAAAAGAACAATATATGAAATTGAATAATTGTCTTCACCAAAAATGTTTTAGGAGGATATTTACGATTAACGCTTCCTGAGTAGTGAAATCACCAACATTTCCTTCTAAAGCTGGTGCTAAAAGATGTAAAGTCGAAGGAGAGCCAATTACATCTGCGATTTCCGTACCTGCACACACATCAAGTTATTTGCACACTTATTGAAAATAAGTTGTAATATAAAGATAGTTATACTTTTTACACTGTTAAAACGGGAGTGTGTGTAAGTGGTGTTCTTTATCTCACGTTGGCACCAGGGTTATGATCATTGGCCTTATTACCAAATGAAATATATATGATATATTATTATTGTATGATATATTTGTGTTTGATGACATTACCTTTTATATGTCTTCAACCGCGTGGAAAAAAATGAGTTTTGCTTTTATAAGACGTCGTGAGAAAATTCTCCCTTGGAAAGTATAAATGCTTCACATAAAATTTGCATTTGGAGACGAAGAATGTCAGAATTGAACTTAACCAACCCTCGTGGTGCCAGGGGACCATATATGGTCCCTCACTTTTCACACCCTCACTAGGCCACGGGACCTTATATGGTCCCCTGAAAATGTCCCTTTTCAACTGTGAATTGAGATGTCAAACACTGAGTGCGCAAAATCAAAATTATAACCATCATCACCCTCATCATCTCAGCTTTAACATCGTGTAACTCATATTGTATACAATGCTACGGATTGCGAAATTAGTAAATTAGTGAGATTAGTAAAGTGGTTACCGCTCTTCTCGACCTTTTTCTGCCATGTTGAATTTCATGCGAATGACGGCGATTTTGGTATTATGCACCCATGCCACATACACGTAACTATTATAATATCAGACAGACAATTTGAAAAAGAAATTGATCAGACGGGTCGGAAATATTTACTTTTCCCCACTGCAGTTATTGGCGTAAGACCACTAACATTTAGTCCGCAACGGAAGTGTTTTGTTCAGGTAGTACATATTTTTATCGACCGTGTGTCATGGCGATTTAGCACGGGGCTAGAGACGAAACAGCAGCGCAGATTGTCTTTCTGTTTATGATGCTGATTTACAAAAAATATTTAATTCTGATATTTGGAAATATAGCCATGATCGTTAATATAAAAGTGGTATAGTCTATATTTATGGGCAGGAGGTTCATGACCAAAACGTAATAATTGAATGACCAAGCCCAGAGTAATCGACAGGGCACGTTCGCATCATAGCTGTGCCGCGATATCTTGTCTACCAGTTGTCTTTCATGCTCGCCCGTTTCGACAAATAACTGCTGCCTTTTTCATATGAAATGACTAAGAGTCATGTGTTATTGCTCAAACATCCTGACAGCGAGAATGAGTTGTCCTAACCGTTTGGCATTTTGTCGCAGAAGGAGATTTAAAAAGTGTGGCCACGACATCTAACGTGAGTCGACGCCATATTGTAAACAAATCGTGTCAAGGTAGGTTTGACATGTGGCAGCTCGGTTCCCGTTGTTGTCGATGGTACAAGCGATACAAACATAATACAACTATTGAAAACATCAACATAACTTCTAAAACGATGACGGCAATACCTTGTTGCATTTGGGATATCCCCTTATGGATACGATGCGCTGTAAAGTCTAATGTACATGGTACATGCTGTGATTGTACAAGATAATTGAATTATTGAATTGGGGTGCAACTAGGCTGATATAGGCTTATAGTGTAAGCAACCCCAATTGTACGAGGGCCCGCAAGCTCGTAAAGTATAAGTTGGCAATTTGTTATTTTTCTACAAACAGCAATAATTAGTGGAAAGTGGGTATTGGGAATATGACTGCCATGGAACAGGTACCAAAAAACACTTTGACGGCGCTCGTGCGGGGACAAATAAATGGTGAAACAGGTCCCGCCTATGGCATAAACTGCACGTCATGTTAGCTGTATAAATGCATTTGTCCCTACGTGATGAAAACGCACAAAAGAAATGCCACGACTGTCACAGGAACAGAGAGAGAGCCATCAGTATGGCCGAAATGGGGGCAACACAGGTCCGCATAGCCAGAAGGTTTGGTTGTACACCATTGACAGTAGCCAGGCTGATTCAACAGTACAGGCAGACAGGGAGGACACAGGGCAGGCCTAGAACTGGACGACCCCGAGTGACAACACCACTGGAAGACGGTCAGATACGGTTCATTCAACGGCGACGGTGACGGCAGCAACAGCGTTGGTACATCCCATTAGCCAACGTACAGTACTACGACGACTTCGTGCTGCTGGAAACCGAGCGTATTGTCCTTTCCGAGGAATGGTACTGACTGTTCAACATCGACGCCTGAGACTGCGATGGGCGAGGCAGGTTCGACGCTGGCAAGTGAGAAATTGGCGTCAAGTGCTGTTTACTGATGAAAGCCGGTTTAACTTGTTTCGAAATGACGGCAGAGAACGAGTGTATCGACGCAGAGGGGAACGTTCGAGAGGTCCATCCATTCGGCGGGGGAGGTGTCATGGTGTTGGGCAGTATTTGTGGAGATCAGAAGACTGGTTTGGTGAGTATACAGGGAAACCTGAACGTTGTGCAGTACAGAGACCAAGTGTTGCAGCCAGTTGTGCTTCCGTTCTTACAAAACCAACAGCAGGGGACATTGTTTCAACACGACAATGCCAGGCCCCATACTGCAAGACTGACTCGGAACTTTCTAAACCAGCGTTGACGTTTTGCCCTGGCCTGCCAACTCACCCGATATGAATCCTATTGAACATCTGTGGGACCATCTTCACAGACAGATAAAAGCACGCCATCAGCCTCCCGTCAACAGACAAGAATTGCAGCAGGCCCCGAGAGACGAATGGCAACGGATTCCAGTCCACGTCATTAGAAGACTGACGTCATCGATGAGGCGGCGTATCACAGCATGCATTGAGGCAGCTGGACGTCATACACGCTATTGAAGGCAACTGTGTCGACAATGAACTTGTAGTGTGTCTGACCATTTTTTGGTGACATTTCAGACAACCTTGGAAAATGAAATTTCTTACTCCACCATTGTTTACCTTGAGCTTACATTACCTGTGATTGCACAATGTCATTCAAACTGTGGTTGATGAATCATTTGTTACCCCTCCCTAGATTATATGATAATTCACAACAGAACCTCTTCTTGTTATTTTTTTTATCGATCATGGAACTCGACCTATACTTCCTTTTGCCACCCACTTTATATACGTGTTTTAACAACACATTTTCGACTTTCATTCTAGGTGAGGTGAAATTTTGTTTAACGTCGCATCCAAGATTATTGCACTTATTTTGCGACGAGCATGCACGTGTGTGTGTGGCTGCTGGTACTAGTCCGGACTGATGCCTATTTACAGTGCTAGCCCACTGAGATACCATGCCGCAGTTTAACATGAATACCCAACTCAGACACAGTATACTGACTCCGAGCCGACCAGTCCTTGCTTAAGCCTCTTAATGCCTAGCGCCAGACAGGGTAGACTTTCATTCAAGAAACATATATGATGACAAATGAAACATGAACAAAATATAATCGATTATATTACTTTAAGTTGTTTTTACATGTTCATTCTTAATATGTGATGGTTATTTATCTTTTTATATTTTAAAGTGAGCCGACCTATCATTATACTGAAAATATTTGTGCGAGCGCGGTTTGCTTACGTCACAAACCATTTAGGCTACCACTAAAATCATGAAGTGCCCAGATTCCGATTTTCAAGTTAGACAATAAATATCATGTTCGACCTGTAGAGTTTAAATCAACAATGTACTGCATAAATGGTGATTGATGTTTTCTTCTAAAAAGATGTTTAGCTGTAAAAATACATTTTTGTTTTTTTTAAACCTACACGCATTTGCTTTTCTGCTACAATGGTAGTTTCGTCCTTGGCCTTGTCGTATTATTTAAAAAGATACGTGTCAAGATTGATGTAGTTGGACACACTTGAAAGACTTCTATAAACACTTAGGTATCAAACTTATTTCACATGAACGAACAGAAACAGGTTTTCATCCGTATAAGCTTTTGATAGAAAGAAATGCCAGTCAAATAAATGCTGAAAGAGAGTATATATGGAGCCGGGACACCCCCAGGGAGAAAACCAGCTCGGAGGACGTACCCTACAACATGCATGTATCTTGTAACTAAACATACATATACTGCAGTAGAAATATTTATGTGACGTAATGATGGGTGAATTTGTTAGAGACAAATGACACTGGACATCCTGATTACTTTTCCTTCTGAAACCATGGGTATCACAGATTCTGCAGCATCAGCAATTTAGCAACCTTGAGGCACACAGAAAGATGTAATCTCGAAAAATATGACTGACAATAATAACACTAATTACTCCAACGTATGGTACGCTTCTAGTTACAGTGGCGGTGCTTTCACCACTGCATGTAGTTGTTTCCATGATGTTTCATGGATATTTTGTCAGGTCATCAGAATTGTCAGAAAGCTCTGTCCTAATATGAAAATATCCAATCGTCAAAAACATTTTCTTTACATAGTACCACAGACAAGTTGTGTGTATATATGTGTACAAGAATGTGTCCACACCTATGTAGAGCTTCAGTCTGTTCTAACCGTCCTGTTTGTCTACACAGCCACGAGCGGAGAGGAAGAAACACGGAGGTCTGGGACCTCCCTAGGACCTGACACACGAGGTGGGTGTATATATGTGTACAAGAATGTGTCCACACCTATGTAGAGCTTCAGTCTGTTCTAACCGTCCTGTTTGTCTACACAGCCACGAGCGGAGAGGAAGAAACACGGAGGTCTGGGACCCCCCTAGGACCTGACACACGAGGTGGGTGTATATAGGTGTACAAGAATGTGTCAACACCTATGTAGAGCTTCAGTCTGTTCTAACCGTCCTGTTTGTCTACACAGCCACGAGCGGAGAGGAAGAAACACGGAGGTCTTGGACCCCCCTAGGACCTGACACACGAGGTGGGTGGAGACAATGTCACATGTAGCGTGGTCGGAAAACCACTCAACATAAACACAACTGTGCTAGAACTCGTGATGTAAATACCAAATCTGTAAAAACACACACCTGCGCTAGTCATTCCCTCTACGTTGTCAGTCATGTTGCAAGTGTTTTATATGTATTGGAGAAAACACGCTCACGAGGTTTTGGTAGACAGAGCATGCCCTGGGGAGAGGGAAAAACCAAGTGGGCGAAGCTCTGTCTACCAAAACAGACGGAAAGTGTTTTTCCATGCTTATAAACCGAAAAAAGAAACTTAAAACAACATTTATCAACATTTTTATGTTTCGAACATACTTTCCATGAACCTTAGGAAACGCGCGTAAAATATCTGTTGCTTGCGTACGGATCTTGAAAAGCACATTCTAAAAACCAGTGAGGCTTATTAACACCTCTGTTGCCTCGTGGTACACTCACTGGGCTACAGATATGAAAGTTGCAAGTTCGATGCTCAGGAATATAAAGAAAACATTTGTCATTTGATTTTACATTTCATTACATGTTACAATCTGAACGGAAGTTATATTAATAAAATACCCAAGACATTATATAAAATCCCTGGGATATTATATAAAATCCCAGGGACATTACAACGTCCCTGTTTATGAGATTTAACCCGACTGGAAAGTAAAACCTCACAATAGGTTTTAATGCCTACAGAAAGAAGTCTCTTACTTAATAGCGATCCCAATGAATAGGTTTATATCCTCACTGTAAGATGTAAACAATGTAGCTGTAAGATATATAGAATTCAACGAACTCCCGTGTAATACCAATTTTATGAGACGAGTGCCTTCAATAGCGTGTATTACCTCCAGCTGCCTCAATGCATGCTGTGATACGCCGCCTCATCGATGACGTCAGTCTTCTGATGACGTGGACTGGAATCCGTTGCCATTAGTCTCTCAGGGCCGATGGATCTTGCAACGAGATTCCACAAATTACGTCATCGGGTATTGTGACGTTATTGTAAACTTGGAGATGCAAGGCCCGTTCCACAAGGCGATCGTATTGTAGCGCAACGACAGTCGTTAGTCTAAGTTAAAGTATGTGAGTTGCGATAGTCTTAGCCCTACGATAATTTTGTGAATTCTAAAGGTGGACCGTTGTATGGTATTAAATTCATACGTTTCAACTTTTGACGTGTTCTAAGTATTATTCTGTAAAAATCAGTTGGACTATGCCATGGAGGCTTTCGCTCGTCAGATACCAGAACTATTCACTCGTTTCATAAAATTGGTTTTACACTGGAGCGAGTTTAGTATTTTTTTTATTACTGGCCATTTTTAACGTTTTTAGAATTATATTGTTGAGTGTGAATAGGCTGACACCTACACAATCCACGACATAATCAAATTGAGTTTAACACAGTAATACTTCAAACACGTCAAAAGGTGAAACGTATGAATTTATTACCATACAACGGTCCACCTTTAGAATTCAGGCGTCCGTTCCACAAAATTAGCGTAGCGTTAAGGTTATCTCAACTCACATACTTTAACTTAGACCAACGACTGCCTTGCGCCTCAAAGTTTAGAATACGTCACAATACCCGATGACGTAATTTGTGGAATGTTGTTGCAAGATCCATCGGCGAAACAATGCCATGTGACGTCAGCCTAGCAGCAAGGTTGCTGGGGTCATCGAGTGTGCATAAGCTCCTCTCAGTGATCTATCAACTCCACACGCAATGTCGTTGAATGAGCCAAGGAATGTTGAGAGCTTTCAATATTTGTTCGTGAAACGTGTTCCGAGAGTACATAAGCACGCGTTTTGGTATTACACAATGTGTAATACAGCTGTATGTTTATTAAACGGGTGATCTCTTCACGGGCAAGTCATAAAACGATGTCTGACATGTGTACAGAGTTCACTTTGTGTTACAGCGATGCTGACTCCCAGATGTAGTGCCACCAAGAAAGACTCTGACCTCAGTAAAGCCAGCAGGGAGGGGAAGCTGCGGGCTGTGGCGGGGATCCTGGCAGCAGGTTTGGCTGACGTCAACTGTAGAGCCGGGAACGGGAAGACGCCGGTGATATTGGCAGCATACGGGGGACACAGAGAAGTGGTGGAGCTCCTTATGAGTAAAGGAGCTAATGTGTCACTGGTGGACAGTGTTGGTAACAACCTACTCCACAACGCCTGTCTGGGAGGAGACATGAAGACGGTGGAGTTTGTGCTGGCACTGAACGTGGTGGACATCGACGCCAGGAACGGTTTGTGGCAGAGAGCGGTGGACCTGGCGAGATTCTGGAGATATCCGCTAGTGGTTGACCTGCTGATATCCCGCGGTGCTTAGTGACGTCGGTGTCGTGTATGTGTAGACGGTGGGGGAGGACGCTGACAGTGACGTGATGTGCCGTTCAAGTGACGGTACACTGTCGATGACGCCACAGCAATGTCGCCAAGGCCTTGCTTCAAAGTGACCAGCTGTTTTCTCTGCCATATCAGGGCGGCACACACGACATATCCATACGACACATCTGCTTTAGGATTGAAGTTGTATTTGCTGATGAAGACAGTGCCTCAGGTGAGCAAATTTCATAATGGTAAATTTGTTCCCGTGAGGCACTATCTTCTTCAGCTGATGAACGTCAACAAATACAACTTTAATCCTTATATTGACAGTTGGTGGCAGAGAGCGGTGGACCTGGCGAGATTCTGGAGACATCCTCTAATGGTGGACCTGCTGATGTCCCGCGGCACTTAGTGAGTGAGTGAGTGAGTATGGTTTTACGCCGCTTTTAGCAATATTCCAGCAATATCACGGCGGGGGACACCAGAAATGGGCTTCACACATTGTACCCATGTCGGGAATCGAACCCGGGTCTTTGGCGTGACGAGCGAACGCTTTAACCACCAGGCTACCCGACCGCCCCCGCGGCACTTAGTGACGTCGGTGTCGTGTTTGTGTAGACGGTGGGGGAGGACGCTGACAGTGACGTGATGTGCCGTTCAAGCCATCATGTTATATATTTCAAAATTAGTTGAGAATGTTTGTGTTTGAATAGGAATATAACTTGTAAATAGAGATGATGTGTGATAAAAATGTGAACACTGCATCTCGTGATATAACTAGTCCGTGTTTATTGTGTCTGAGGAGTTTGTAATTAATCGTGAAACATACAACAAACTGTTTCTTTACATCTCGCTGCACTCTGTGACCTCAGACCGAGCAGAGGTTCGTCCAGATGACGTGGCGGCAAACGTACAATGACAGTGACGTTACACTGTCGATGACGCCACAGCATTGTCGCCAAGGCCTTGCTTCAAAGTGACCAGCTGTTTTCTCTGCCATATCAGGGCGGCACACACGACATATCCATACGACACATGTGCTTTAGGATTGAAGTTGTATTTGTTGACGTTCATCAGCTGATGAAGACAGTGCCTCAGGTGAGCAAATTCCATAATGGTAAATTTGTTCCCGTGAGGCACTATCTTCTTCAGCTGATGAACGTCAACAAATACAACTCCAATCCTTATATTGACAGATACAGATACATAAATGATAAGTGCCTAAGGTGAGCAAATTCCATAATGTAAATTTGTTCCCGTGAGGCATTATCTTCATCAGCTGATGAACGTCAACAAATACAACTTCAATCCTTATATTGACAGATACATAAATCATAACAAAACTATCCATTAAACATCAAACTAAGGTCGTGACCTCATCCGTCCGAAGCATTCAATTTCGAGTGACATTCCTTGCTTTGACATTGCCTTAGCTGCCATATTCTGCCGTTTGTAATTCACTTGAAATGACACCCAGACAAAAGTTAGCATTGGAAAGAAATCCAGAGCCGGCTGATGCTGAAAATGGTTTGATATTAACGTTCTGTGAACCTTTGGTGTGTGTTTGAGTCCTACCACGGATGCTGATGACGGGGATTACCGCATGAGGCGGCGCGGTTGGATTTTTCGAAGCATTACACGACAGTGTGGAGCTCATTGATTTTATTGGTAAATCGAGCATTCTCTGTTATAGCTTCGAATTGACGCTTCATTTCGGTGACCCGACATATACATTATCTGTCTGGCCTCAAAGCCTGCATCATTCATAGCCTGAATCGATGTCGTCAGTTGTCCCTAATAATGTTTCGGAGTACCTTTAGAATACAGTACCACAACTTCTCGTGAGGACGGTCTCTGCCGTAGGTCACATGTCTCAAAGACAAGCAACCAGTGATTGTAGGAATCAGTCGGACGCAAACTCGCGACCTTCGGATTGTTAGCCCGACAGCTAACCGACTGAGCTACGTCCACTGTGCGAAACTAAGTGCAAATTTACCTAGTCATGCCTACGACTTTACGGAACTGAACGAAAAGGGTCGAATAGGTGACGAACACTTTCGAAGGTTACGGGTAGGAATGGGATCTTGAAACTTTAGTCTACGGACACTTACGAATGATCCCGATGCTATTTGGCACACTCGTCCCATTCCGTCTACAAGATACGAGTGGTGAGAAATGATCTGATATGCCGCGAACTGAAAACGGCTCCAGGCGTCAGACGTCAGACGTCGAACTCGCGGGTACGCATGAATGACATGGTATTTAATAACTCGGCCGGTGATTTTTGTAACAGAAAAGTGTGGTAGGGAACACTGTAAGGATGATGTGGATAATAGTAAGGAATGAGGGAGGCATGTGCATGGCTAGTGACGACACAACGTTGAGTTCGCTTTTGAATCAGTACTGAAAAAATGTAGCCGGTGAAAGTGGCTTGTGTGAATATTCCAGGACAGTTTCCAGTAGCCAAAGTATTCGACACAAAACCATTTCATCCTTTTTACTCGACGTTTTTGTGTGAAGGATATTAGGAGCCACTATAGAATCTATAATAGCCTCTAAACGGGTACCTCACCCTAATGATCGTAAAGGGATGATTGATCGTAAAGGGGATCCAAAGGCTAAGGATAGAGTTCTGGGTAACCTACCCTAACACTAGTGATATTTCAGCACCAATAAAATATCCCTAAAAAACTGTATTCTTGTGCATAATAACGAAACTTAATGAACAGAAAAGTAATATATGTATTTTAGTTCCCATTTTAGCCACTTGAATTACGAGAAAAACGAAATGAAAAATTTATTTAAAAAAGTGCTTTCGTAAACTAGCACTTGCTATAAAATGCGCCGCCGCAGGCTATATTTAGTAAACAAATTTTCAAAACTCTCCACACCGCTTGGCGTATTCAATGACATTTCGGGTAGAGATGATAGATCACTGGGAGGAGCTTATGCACACTCGATGACCCGTGACGTCACAGGGCATTGTTTCGCCGGTGTGACTGGCAACAAAATACTACAAATTACGTCATCGGGTATTGTCACGTGTTTGAAAGTTTGTGGTACTGTATTCTAAAGGTAGGCCAATCGTTGCTTACATATAGTCAGAAAGAAATGTGAACAACCGAACACTATGGTTACACTATAAATGGCTAGATAATATTTGCCATTAAACTATATAATCACGTGACTAACCACGGGTCCGGGTAGTCCTGTGGTTACCCGGGTCCTACTCAGTACCGACCCGACCCGAGTTACCCGTCCCAGCCCACCAAGAGTGCCCCTTTAACATGTTCACTGTTTTGTAAACATTTGGGTTGATATCTGTAATTTGTGATGTAGGTTCAGTCCTGAAACAAAACTGACTTTTAAATCACACATCACATGCCACATAAAAAGTTTAATCCAAAAGGAAGCATAGATTTCTGCATTTATTATTTTCCCATTCTGTTTGAACAAAACAATGTGGCCTCTTTCAAACTAATGTGACCAGATAATGCGAAAATAAATGATAGTTCGCAAAAGTATATTCTTCAGATCACATTTTCATTGAAAAATGAGTTTGTGCAAGTGGAATAGGACAATTGTATGTTAATAGTAAAGTTGATTGTAGCCGCCTAAGATCGATTGTAACTAAGATTGTTCTGTGCAAGGAGGCCCTGGTATGCAGGCTCTCATGAAGATTCGGGGCGGTCGGGTAGCCTAGTGGTTAAAGCGTTCGCTCGTTACGCCGAAGACCCGGGTTCGAATCCCAAACATAGGTACAATTTGTAAATTTTGAGAGGGAATTTAAGTGTCTAGTAAGTTGTTTCCCACAGATGTAGAGCCCAGGGCTATACAGATAGACGCAGTGACCGAGCGATCGCATTCAAAAGTAGGAGAGATATGACAATCGTTATAAGGAGAAAAGGTGCAGATAATCGACGTGAGGATTGTGAGAATATGCGAGAAATACCAAACCTAACCTTTTTAATCAGAAATAAACGACTCGTGGCATTTGTTTATCGTACAATAAAACACTGCAGGGCGAATAATTAAACCACTCGGGGCTGCGCGACCACGACTCGTTTATTTATAAGTACATTTGAAACTGTATCTTTAGTATGAAAACGACTCCGCGTTATTTTAATATTGGTTATATAGTGCAATATTCTTGTGTGTATGTTGTTAAACACCACACGCAGCAATACTACAGTTGCATGACATCAGCCTGTCATCGAGTCTGGACCAGTGAGTCTAGTGATTGCTATTATGAGCAACCATACCGTTGGGGTACGATGACAAGCAATGAAGCACGGTACCAATCCTGAGAACCCGATCCATAGGTTGCTAGGCTTTTCTAACCCATGATCACCGCGGGACACTGTACTCGTGAGTGAGTGAGTGTGTTGGGTTTAACGCCGCTTTTAACAGTATTCCAGTTATATCACGGCGTGTCAGCTTTATGTGGGAGGAAAGCCCGAAGTGATGCAGGTCTCAGACGTTTACCACTTCGGTGAAACCCACGAGCACGGGTATGGTGCAGACAAACCTAGAAACATAATTGGGGCGAACCAATTCGAACCTACAATCATAGGTTTCTGGCGTGCCAAAGGGACGCCACTCTGCACAGCGAATCGCGGCGCCTTAGACGACTGGGCCACCCGTGCTGCTTCCCTGTTATGGCTGTATCCCATGTACATACAGCATATCCACCATTGAATAGTTATTGAAAAGGTGACTATGCTTGTCGTAAGAGGCGACTAACGGGATCGGGTGGTCAGGCTCGGTGAGTTGGTTGATACATGTCATCGATCCCAATTGCACGGATCGATGCTCATGGTATCAATCACTGGATTGTCTGGTCCAGACTCGATTAATTACAGACCGCCGTCATATAGCTGGAATATTGCTGAGTGCGGCGTTATAAACAACAAACAAACAAACAAACAACATCACACGGACTGTGCGTTAAAATAGGAAAATAAGTGACTATACGTCCCATTCATAAACGGTCCGATGGGCAGCTCTGTTTTGTACTTTGCTGACCCATGGTTATATCTATACTTCATAAACTTATTATCAAGAAACCAATGTGACAGCCTGAAACTATTTCGAGCAAGTACAAGACACCGATAACAGTTCTTACATTGGTGGCGAATCCTTCGCACTGTAAGGACATTGCAATTTTTGTTGAGTTTCCAACGTTGAGGATAACATGTTTATTGCATTTTTAGTTTATCAGTTTACAACATTTTTTTCATTTTTTATATTTTTTATTTTATAATTAATTATTTTTGTTGCATTTTACTTAAGTTGCGCATACATATTAGACTTGCCACTACATTTTCTAAGATAGTAAATGACAGCTTGACCAAAACTTATTAAACATGTTAACATTCGAATTCAAAGTTGCTGCATATTTAGTTAAGTTGTAATAGTC